TGCGAAACAAGGGGCCGTTTTTTCTCATTATCCTGCCCCCTGGGGCCCCTATGGATATAGGAAAGGTCGGTGTGAAAAATTCGGGTGACCACTCATTTTGAAGATCTTTTCATGACGAATCAAATGGTGATGTCAAAATTCGATTTCAATCTTTTTTGACCCCATTTAGTGACTTCGCAATGAAAAGTGAGAACGGAAACACCTATGGAAAAACACGGAAAATCGACCAAATATACGGTTGAATAGCAGAAGCTCCGAGCTTTCTAACGGTACCAACCGTTTTTGTTCATCGCATACTAATCAAAAGTTATTAAGAAATGGCCATCCTTTTTCTTTTCTGAAATGGATAATAGTGTTAATTAACAGACGAAAAATTCGATAAAAGGTCAAATAGTGACACCGTATCAGATATTGATTTTTTAATTTTTTATTCTCATTCATTTTATAAAACAAATCTATTTTGTTTTATAATATGTATCGAGACTGATTTGATACTCTGTTTAGTTGATTTTGGCTTACATAATATCCAATTGTGAGATACAATGTCATAATTTTTTTTCGAAACTAAAAGTATTGATTTACATCCCTTCATAAGCCCTCGTCATATGATAAAATGACTTTAAAATCTTCATTTTAATTCAAATTAAAAAGAAAAATTGACAATTTCATCTTTGTGAGCAAATAAAAATTAGTAGATTAAAATATTGTCAATAATACTACACATTACAGATTCTTTGTTTTTATCTTTCATTTCAATATCAATTTCTCTCTATCGTTCATATTCGTCTTCCATTCATATATTCATTCCAATAGCTAATTTGTCTTCAATCAAATATACCGAATCATTATCATTATTGACTATTTATCTATTAGAATTTTGTTTTTCTCCTCTTGTAATAATAAGCTCATGATCTATGAGTCTAGAAAGAGAACGCATTGAAGAAAAAAAAATAACGCATTGATTTTTCTTTTTATGACTCTTCTTCTTTATTTTCTATGTATGTTAAATTCGATCATATCTTTTTCAAACATACATATGCTTTCGAATTAATCATATCAACGCATATATCATTTGAATACATATCTATGGACGAAGGTGTTTTGTTTCATTTTTTATCCCATACGGACTGACATCATAAAAAAAAGATGGAAAACAATTGTAAAAATGATGAAGAAAAAAAATAAAGAAATACGCTGATATTTTTTTGCGTTTATGATTGTCGAATAGCTTTCAATTGTTTTCTTGATATTATAATACGCATTTCTGTAGAAAAAAAGGTGTTATTGATGTGTATCAATAATGTTTAATGGGTTTAAATTGATGCGACAAATAATAAGTTAATAGCTATAAAACAAAATAAAATAGTTAAAAATTTACAAATTTAACATTTATAATGTGTTTTAAGATAATTCTATGATAGACATCAAAGATAATCTTTGTATATATTAAGATTTTACCGATGAAAAATTAGTGAACAATTACGTATGATTATCAGTTGTTTCATCGGATTATGAAACTTTATCTCATTGGAAAAAAAAGACAAAAAAGAAAATAGAGACTATAAAATAAGATTTATGGTTCAATATGATTCTTAATTGACAGGAATAAAATACCGAAATTTAAAAAGTCTTTCATCTATGACATTAAATAACATTGAAGAAGAAGATACAAGTATATAATAATTATAATGGAGGGAGAAATATGTGCATAAAGAATAATAGGGTTGTCATTGAATTTTCTACTTGATTAAATTTTCATGCCTTATGAACTCCACCCTTGATCACGATAGATATTTACACATTCTCATACAGTAATGATAATACAAGTCAAAATTTGATGTGATGATAAGAGAGAAAGAGAAAGAAAAAGAGACAGCAGCTATGTGTGGTTTTATTGCAAAGAGAGAGAGAGAGAGAAAGAGATCCGTTTGACAGGTTCGAATTATTTACCACCTTTTGTTTTATGACAGATGAGCCTTAAAACCAAAAAAAAAATTCATCTTTTCCTTTACAAAAACACGGCTAATAAGAAAGCGAGAGGGAAAGAGGATGAAACAAAAAATGTATAAATAGCAGGCAAGTTTTTTTCTCAACAATTCTTGGTTAAGATATCGCAACATCTTCCATGATAAAACTAATTTATACTTTTACTATCTCGGTTATAAGTTAAAATTAAAGGATAGAAGATGTTTGCTTATATGATATAAAAATGCAGCAGCTCATTTTACTTTTGGCGAGATGAAAGTCGTTTCGTAACAATGGTTTTTTGTCTACAATTGACAAACAGTAAATGTGACATAGCATATCATTCTGCATTTTTACACGTTATTTTTTAGTGTTTCATGGTCACTTGTTCAATGAACAGAGCTAATTTTCTTCATTGAGGTATAATAGAAAAAAAACAAAAAAAAATCAACGGTTTTTTTTACTTCATTTATGGTACATACTATACCGTTTTCTTGAATAATTGAGCAGTTTTCAATTCAATATGTTATCTCTCTATTTCGTTCGGTACTCAAAAACAAAACTTATGAACAATAATTCATCATCTCTTTAATAAAAACATATCTGTTGCAATTTGTGTGTGTGATACTAATAAATCAGAATATTTGTACTAATATGTAGAATTTATATATATTTGTAGAAATATATTTTATATTTCGCGTACTATCTGATTCCCAAAAATTTCTAAGATAAATTTTATCAAAATTCATCACAGACATGGCTTAGAATACAATCTTACTACAGATAATCCTGTATAATATATAACAGAGGGCAATTACATTTAATAGGTGGTTTTTCTATCTCTAGCGTTAACTTCATGCTTTAGTCGATCTTTCATTCAAATCTAGACTCTGAAAATAAAAGTAAAATAGAAGTCTTTCCACTCATTTGAATATGACATTTTTATAGACGTTTTGATTGCACTTATTGTGTGACACACAAAAAAATTCGTTTTTACGGTTCAACTATTTTTATAATTCCTTTTGTGTAATGTCATTGAGCTTATTCATACTGTTGTTAAGAGAAAGAGAGAGAGAATAAGTTACTGGTTGCTTCACGTTTTTGTATATGTAATTAAATAGTTCATTCGCTAAATTCCTCTATATGTCAAATACTTTTATCTTTTGTAGAATATTGAATACTGAGCCATAATATTTTAATTGATCGAGAGTATCAATAGTATAAAAACAATATAAAACAATGACAAATTTACTACCGTCACTTAACTATTTGTCATTGCCATCACCAGCATCTCAACCAACAATCATACAACAATCACCAAAAAGTTATCATCAACAGGACATATATCATCAACCTCAAATCTGTCAACAACCACAATATGCCAATGATTCATCACAATTGTTAACATCACCATCTAGTTATGCTACTACCAATAATCATCAATATCAGACATCACAAGGAAAAATTAATATTTGTCAAACACATGATCAACAAACCGATTCTGATTGTGATTTGGATAGTTCATCAAATTCAATATTATCGGGTTCATCAACAAATAATAATAATAATAAATTAAAAAAACGTCGTGCAAACTTACCTAAGGATAGCGTAAGTACTAGCTGAAAGATATATTATTTTACCATAATATTCTTTTTCCATACATCAACCACGACTGTTAGGTTTTCTAAAGGTAATAAATTCATCTTGATACAGTTTAAAAAAGATATTTTCCAGAATTCAACCATATTCTCGTGAACCACGTAACATAAACTACTGAGCAAGTTGGAGAAAGACCGAACACTCATTTTTCAATAATGGAAAAGATTATAGGTTTTTTTTCGTTTTCTAGGTTCGCATATTGAAAAATTGGCTATATGAGCATCGATACAATGCCTATCCAACTGATGATGAAAAGGCAAATTTAAGTAGACGCGCGGATTTAACGATAAATCAAGTGTGTAATTGGTTTATAAATGCCCGCCGACGAATTTTACCCGATTTATTGAAGAAAGAAGGCACAGATCCTAAAAAATACACAATATCAAGAAGATTTTCACGAGATAATAAACGTTCAGCATCGTCCTCTACCAACGATATTGATAACAATAACAATAGTAGTAGTAATATCAATAATATAATATCGAATTCGAATGAAAATACATCAGCTAATAACACTACGTCTATCATAACGTTAAGTAATGGCACATTCAATGATAATAATCGAGCAACGAATACAATTCTATATGTTCCACCGCCTCCGCCACCAGCACCACAGACATCCAGTAATAATGTCAAATTGAACGTTATAGTTGCTCAAAGTTCATTTTATGGTGGCGGTTTGGATACGCGCCCATCACCAGTCAAACTTGAAGTATCATCATCATCATCATCATCATCATCATCATCTATATTGTCAAATTCACAATTATTAAACACAACTGCAAAAGAACTATTACAAACCGAAACATCACTAGTATCGACCACAGCGACCAATACAGGAACCACAACCGCATCATTGATACCAATTCGAACAACGGCAACATGCCATAACAACAATTATTTGGCAACCTATCCAAATGGAAAATCCTTGTATGTTCCAAATTTGGATAATGCATTAGCATCGAATAATAACAATTTAACTGTTGTTTTGAACAATAGTACAGTATCATCTGAGATGTACTTAAATAAACCGTCAACATTAACGCCCCCGACAACGCCGTCGACAACACGTCAACCAAAATATTTATCAGAATGCATCACATCAATTATATCACCACCACCAACACCTATAACATCGAGTGAGTCTTCTCAACAAAAAAATACTAATGACGATACATTGGCTCGATCAACATCATCAACAACATTTGTACTTCATACGGTACTTTCTGAATTAAGAAAACGTCAATTAACATCCTCGTCAAATGACAATGAACAAGTGATTATTACAAAAATAAAAAATTGCGATAATGAGTTTGACAATAATCGATCGTCATATTCTCGACAACAGCAAATACTGTCAGAAGATGGTGGTAATACTGTAAAACGTTTTCGTCTCGATAAAACAACATTATCTCCACCACCATCATCAACGTCATCGTTACCTTCTTCTTCAAATAATGGTGATTTAGCCGGTTTTCAATTACTTGTTGACGTTGCTGTCAAAGAATTACAACGTATGCAGGATGATCCAACGGCAACGACAAATCAACCAAACCAATATGTAGCTTTATTGTGCAATTAGTTTAGATTTTTTGCTTGTTTTTTGTGTGTTTTTCCGTTCTTTTGGTTTTGTTTTATTTTATATTCTAGTATATATATTTCATTTTGATATATATGTTTACATGTAGCAAGATGCTAAAACAGCTAAGTTACAGCTTTAAACGCTGGTTTTTCCTTCTATACGACTTGTTTTGTATTTTATTTATGTGTGTGTGTGTGCCAAGAGGCAAACTACAGCACTTAGTGCCGAGTTTGGTACTGAACAGTGCTGAAAAGTGCTGTGCAAAATGAAAGTGCTGTTTTCTTCTTGGTGTGTGCTTTTTCTGTAAACAGTACTCTGTTCGTCATTTTTGTTTGTTACACTTTTTTTCATTTTTGAGCTGTTTTCAGTTTTAAAATGGTTAAAAAAGCAAAGCCATGGTGCTTAAGATAAATAAATAAAAAAAGATACTATATATCTTCTGAAAAACGCGATCAGCACGGTATTTAATATTAATAATACCAGAAGTTTGAAATCCTTCACACCAATTCAATGTTCTTGACTTTTCAACAATATTTCATACTCGTATTTTACATTCGTTTCAAAGATATGGTGGATAAACGGTTTCTGACTGGAAAAAAACTGAATAAAACTAAGAACAAGGTTAAGGATATAGTCAGTGGGTTTCTACGTGCGATTAGGTCTAATTTGTAACTGTAGAAAAAAAGGCGTTACACTTTCGTTTTACATGGCGTAAACATGATCGATAAATTTGATGTGACTTTGTAAATATTTACCTAATTGGTTAAAACAATCGTTTGCACATGTCTATATTCATACGTGTGTGTAATCAGTTCCTATTTTCACACGGTTCTATTTAATACACGCGTACGTATCAATTCGTACATCATATCTCTCTCTATACAGTAGATATATTTATTTAAGATCCTCAAATAATCAGATATGTATTGTATATGTAAGCAAAATACTTATCAAAAAATAAAGATATTTAGTAATTAGTCGTTTACTGTCTATCCAATTAACAAATGACGATTATTGCCTGTATAGGAAGAGAGATTGAGTTTGTTGATGTTTTGTTGTGACAAATAAATGACATGTAGAGACAATGAAACAAAATGAAATTGTAGAGTTGGAAGGACACAAATAATTAGTTGCTCAATATATATACTCTCTGAACTCTATAGAATGTCTATTTAATAATTGACTTCATACTGCACAACACATAAAAGAAGAGCGTGTTAGAAACATTGTTGTCTCATGAAGTTTGTTAAGATGTAATCTGCTTAATATCAGGTCACTCTTCCAATGTGTGTACACTTATGGGTATTCTAGTAATTGTCATCAATAGTACGTTTTGAGATGTGTCATCAGAACATACGCATAACCTATTGGTCCCTTCTGCGAAAAGTATCTTTTGCTTAAGCTAGCAGCAGCAGTATATATCCTTCACATTTTTTCCCCAAAATATTCCCCAGTTTGGCGTTATAATTAAAGATACTTTTGCGACAAATAACGGGTGAAAGTTTGAGCAATCTGCAGCTGTACCTTGTTGACTGAGTACGGTTCCTTATTTATATCAACAGTGGATCCTGTTATGCTAGCTTACCATTTAACAAAACTAGCTTGTGTCAACGATTGTATACGACTCTTCAACCATAGTTGCCTGAGATATATATGTTATCATTATCTCTTTTGATTAAATTATCCACAAAATATCTACCAGCCATCTTTCCGTGTTTTGCGGACGAACCAACGTACACACGCGATTTAAGTATCACTGTAATAAGTCAACCAGTTCCTATTCCTTAATTTCAGTTGTCTACTACTGCACAAGAAATAGTTAAGATTAAGAAGAATTATTGAGTGTTTCCAAAGTTTCAGCAAAATCTAACATGAAATTCTATATTTTTACTACAAGGTTAATCCAACTTCATTTTTGAAGTTAGGACGTGATGCTGTATTTTCTTGACGAATTTGATAAAAATACGCTAGATGAGATAGTTAAGTGTAAGCGGCTAGTATCGACTTAAGCTTACGGTGATGCTACTGCTTTGGATCTAGCATTTGTGGTTAGCATACTCTGACCAACACTTTGATGGTCAGAATTAGGCTTCATTTTAGCAATATTCTAAAAATTATGACCTTAAGCACAGATTCATGTCGAGACTCAAGTGCTTACTTGTTAAAACTTAAGAATTCCCATAAAACGATCCATCCTCACAGTCCGGAAGGTAAAAAATCAGGGTACATCAAGACGAGGTTATAGTAGCAATTCTTTACAAATCAAGTAGAGGATCAGACAAATGTGTTGCTTTTGAAATCTTGTCCTTAACTTTTGCTTCTAATGAAGCTCGATCAAAATTTATGCGTAAGTCAGCTCAGTCTCTATGTATTCCTATCAAATTAATAATAAAGTAAGGTTATCTTAAATCACCACTGCGAGTTTCAGCTTGACAAAAAGATGTTGTCCAGAAGTTCATTCTGTACATGTTTTTCAAAAAGTCTTTTGGCATTTACTTTCTATTCATAACTCTGTTTTGATTTGTCTGTATCTTTTGATGAATTTTTCCCACCAAAAAAACTCTTAAAACTATAGAGGTCCTTATATGCACTCATTTTGGTTTGTATTTTAGAGTGAGTGTGTTATTCTGCGATCGATTGTTCAATGCACGATTCTTGTTATAAAGTTAAACCAACCAGCAATATTTCATTTGTCGTACATTGCTTTAATTATAATGACCTTGATCAATTTAGTTGATTATAGAGAGAGGCTGACGCTTTGTATACGATTGAGTAGAATTTCAGCTTATTATTGGAGACGCTGTCTCATTCTCAATTCTTTGTGCTGGCTCATTTATTCTCACTAGCCATCAAATTTTGAAGAAAACGAAAGAGTAACTCTGACTCGTGAAATATGAAGTTACGGACTCGCCATTCATGTTACCATATTGTTGTTATTTTGCATATTATTTTTTTGACGTCTAGCCTTTTCGAAGTTCACTGCTAGCACTTGTCGGTTTTTTTCAATGAAGTAAAAAAGTATACACTTTGTTTATTCTCACAAAAGAAATTTTGAAGAAACTTTTTGAAAATAGATACCAAATTTTTTTACTCTTCTGTCCCGAAAGTTGAGCTACGTTTCTGGCTGTATCAAAGTGTAGCCAAAGCAGCATTCGTTATCTTTTTGTTCGCAGTCATTGAAAATAGACGTGAATTGACAGCTAGCAGGTCCTTTGAAAAGGCTAAATATCAAGAAAAAAAATGTGCAAAGCGACTGAGAATTGAAACCGGAAAGAGTATATTAAGCCGAATTTGATGTTGAAGATTACCATAAGATAATTTTTAGTTGATTTCAATGAACTTTTTCATAACTTCGTAGTTTTATCGTAGATGACGAGCAAGGCTGCCGTATCTCGAGATCCAGCGAATTTTAGATAGTATAGTATGGGTAGACATGACATGTTTCGCGCTTTTATTTTGTTCAGTTATCTTAGGCGTGACACAAAATTCAAGTATCAAAACAAATATTTTGACGTGAGATTTCCTAATTTTTGTTTAATAACCAATAATAAAAAAAAAGTTTCACGTAGGACATAGATGGCAATGAGCGTACTATGCTTTTGTTCAAATTTCTTTTCAATAAACTTTTAGGCTATAATCTGTTTAGATTAGCGATGTAGACCAAATACGAAAGTTTAAGCATTATTTCAACAATGAATCCAATGAACAATCAAACTCAAAGTAAGCTTGAATAATTTTGCTTTTTCTATGTGTTTGTATAGAGAATACGAGAGGGATAAATGGTATTCACTATAGTGAATACCATCATATATGACTTAAAATTATACAACTTTTATTCTCACTACAACTTCATAGTGAGAATAGTAAAAGCTATCTATATGTATGTTGCTTTGTTTTAGTGTACATGCCGCAAGGAATAGCAACTACGAATAGTGACTCATCTTCTCTTATGAATACGATGAATGCAAATCAGTTTAGTTTATATAATCATCAATTGAATGCCTATAAATATCTTGTACGTAATCAACCAGTTCCAGAGCAACATTTAATGGCAATCAAACGTCAACAACAGCAACAGTATTTTAATCAAATCCCTTCACAAATGCCAAATACTTCAATGATGGTGAATAAGCCAGTATCATCATTAGCTGGAGTGAGCATGTCCGGTTCACCGTCTTATGGAATGCCAGTTCCATCACCTAGTGGTATGCAACAACCCCCAAAAACGATGATAAATGGTACTGCTAATATATATAGTAATAATCGCATGTCAAGTTCAACACCACAAATGCAGCAGCCGTCTGGAGGTTATATAACTGGATCTGCTCTTGGTCCTGTACATCATCAACAACAGTTAGCCGGCGGTTATTATCCATCATCCTCATCTATAATATCTCCACATCAGAATGGCAGCAGTTCTACTTATTCAGTTCAGATACCAACAACAACACAACCTCAACAAACTTCAACGAGTATTGCTCAACAAAATGAAAATTCTTTAACAAACGGTTTACCTAATAATAATAATAATATATCCTCAGTCACAATGCCATCGGCATCAAATGTTCCAGTAACAAATAATCAAACACCATCGTCGCGACTGAACAAGTGAGAGTTGTTGTATTTTGTTGATTATTAAAACCCTATAGTTTTTTTCTTTTTGTATTTTAGTATGCGAATCACACCGATACAAAAACCATGTGGTGTTGATATGCATGAAATTATGCAGGAACGTGAAATATGTATGCAACATCAAATAATTAATCGTATCAGTGAATTAGAAAAACTTTTACCAACATTGTCATTAGATGATTTACGAACGAAAGCCACTATTGAACTAAAGGCACTGAAACTTTTAGCATTTCAACGACAGGTAAAAACAAAGATAATTATCGACAATCTACTTTCAGTCAGTTATAGCCTCATCATCAATATTTTTCTTGATAGCTTCGTATTGAGGTCACAACATGTATGCGTCTTGATTCAACATTAGAAACTGGTACAAATCCACGTGTATATAAACGAACGAAACATTTTGGTGTACGTGAAGCGCGTGCAACGGAAAAGCTAGAAAAACAACAAAAACAAGAAATTGAACGTAAACGTCGACAAAAACACCAAGAATATTTGAATGCTGTGTTAACAATAGCTAAGGAATTTAAAGAATATCATAAAAATGTACAGTTGAAAGTAAGCAAATTAAGTAAAGCAGTTCAAAGTTGGCATCAAAATACGGAACGCGAACAAAAGAAAGAACAAGAAAAGCGTGAACGTGAACGTATGAGACGTTTAATGAACGAAGATGAAGAAGGTTATAGAAAATTAATTGATGAAAAGAAGGACAAACGTTTAGCTTATTTATTATCACAAACAGATGCTTATATTATTAGTTTAACAAACCTTGTTAAGGAACATCAAGATGATATTCGAAAGAAAAAAACGGAAAAAAAAGCAAAAGTAAAACCAGTGCCAATCAAACAAGAACCAGGCACACAAGTAAATACTGGTACACCATCTACGACAGCAATATCGACCGAAGACACAACGGATATACATGTTAAAGTCGTACACACATCAACGGGAGAAATACGTGAGGGGTTAGACGCACCATTAGCATCAGAATTAGATTCATGGTTAGAACAAAATCCTGGATGGGATCCAGTACCGAGAGAAAATAGCGACGATGAAAATGACGTAAGTGAGCTTTTTGACAGAAAGATATTACAGTAGATAATGGCGTTCTTGTCATTTAGGACGAAGAAGGATCATCATCAACGACCGTCACGGCAAATACGCTTCTACCTGCTGATCCAACCCCAGACCAACAACAAAGTGATATTGTGGAAGATGAAAAAGGGATCAAAGATGATTTAACCATAGCCAAAGCTGCACCAGAAGACGATGAATATCATTCAGCTGGATTACAATCTTATTACGCTGTTGCGCATAAAGTACGTGAACGTGTTATAAAACAATCATCATTGTTAATTGGTGGTCAGCTGAAACCATATCAGATACAAGGTTTAGAATGGCTTGTGTCACTGTATAATAACAATTTAAATGGAATACTTGCTGATGAAATGGGTCTGGGAAAGGTAAATCCAGTGAAATTATAGAGCATTGTTTTATCTGTAGTTATTGTTTTTCTTCTTTCAGACTATTCAAACAATTGGTTTAATTACATATCTGATGGAAGTGAAAAAAGTGAATGGACCATATCTTATCATTGTACCACTTTCGTACGTGGAGTTGTAGCAATCACTTTAATTTGAAAACATTTATTTTGTTTTTCAGTACACTTGCAAATTGGGTGAATGAATTTACGAAATGGGCACCAGCCGTAGTGAACATTATATTCAAGGGAAATCCAGCCATACGAAAAGCATTAGGTCAATCACTTAAAACGGGAAAATTTAACGTTTTATTGACAACTTATGAATACATTATTAAAGATAAAGCCATGTTATCTAAGATAAAATGGCGTTACATGATCATTGACGAGGGACATCGAATGAAAAATCATCATTGTAAACTAACACAAATATTAAATACATTTTATTTGGCGCCACATCGTCTTCTATTGACGGGAACACCACTACAAAATAAACTACCAGAATTATGGGCATTATTAAATTTTTTGTTACCAAGCATATTTCGATCATGCAGTATGTATTAGTTATTTGCTGATATAAAACATTATGGTTATGTATATGCCTATTTCTAGCTACATTTGAACAATGGTTCAATGCTCCATTTGCCACCACTGGAGAAAAAGTAGAATTGAATTCTGAAGAAACGCTGCTTATAATAAGACGTTTACACAAAGTACTTCGTCCATTTTTACTTCGTCGACTTAAACGTGAAGTTGAAAGTCAATTACCAGAAAAAGTATATAATTTTTGAAAGTCAGTTCTGTAATACTCGTCAATATTTTCTTGTTTTAGATTGAATATGTTATAAAATGTGATATGTCAGCACTTCAACGTGTCATGTACAATAGTATGCAATCGTGTGGAATATTGTTAACAGACGACAAAGATGGAAAGGTAGCTAGAATATAATTGTGCCTTGCACAAGTTGTGATGTCGACAGACTTTGTATGTGATGAATAATGACAGAAAGCACTGCAATAGTAGAAGAGTTCATAATAATTCTGTTCAACACACTAGACGGCAGTGTACAGGTATTAGAGTAAAATCTATCTTAGATGTAGAGTTAGAAGAAAGAAACATCACATCTTTACATAATTAAGGCTAAGCTATTGTATTGTCTTTCCCGCACTATCGAAAATTCTTTTCTCAACAAAGAAAGAAACAATTTATTTTGTTCTCAAAGTTTTCCTTAAAAAATGGCGCCGGCAACAAAATGTATGAAAAAGTTCTAAGTCCAAAATACATTTTCCGTTAACTTCTTCCATCTTAGGGCACAGAATGTGGACCACTGCTCGAAAAATGAATAAGCATTGATTAATCTCGAGTATATTAAGAACAATATCCCGTTTTTAGAACTTTTCTAAGTAACATAGTTCTCTAGATCATGAGGACATTTTACACAAAACAGCGACCAAAGAAAAAAAAACCATTTTTCGCATCAAAAACACATAATGTCTGTCGACATAAAGACGATATAATTCAAGTGCAAGTTTTATATACGCTCTTGATTGCTTCTCGTTCAATAGATTTTGTATGTATACTATATTTAACATTTTCTAGGGAAAATCAAATCCAAAAGCATTGATGAACACAATCATGCAATTGAGAAAAATTTGTAATCATCCATTTATGTTTGCTGAACTTGAAGAGAAAATTAGTCAATATTTCAATTATGCAAACGGCATGTGTAATGGGTACGTTAAATAATTTGATTTAGAATATATTACGAATGAGAAAATCACTTTTTGACTTATGCAAAAATTAAAAACTAACAAAATTCTTTATCTGTCAATAGGAAACAAACTTCACCCTTGTTTATTTTTATTCTAGGGCTGATTTATATCGTGCCTCGGGTAAATTTGAACTTTTAGATCGTATACTACCAAAATTAAAGGTAACAAATCATAGAGTACTATTGTTTTGTCAAATGACATCGTTAATGACAATAATGGAAGATTATTTTGCTTTTAAAAGTAACTAACTACTATGGTTTCTTCTAGTTTACTAACTTTATAATGAATATTATTTCTTGTAGATTTTAAATATTTACGACTCGACGGTCAAACAAAATCGGAAGAACGTGGTGATTTATTAGCAAAATTTAGTGAAGAAAATTCGGATTATTTTATTTTTCTTCTGTCTACACGAGCTGGAGGACTTGGTTTAAATTTACAAACAGCTGATACCGTTGTTATATTTGATTCTGATTGGAATCCTCATCAGGTATGTGTATTTTAGAATTATTGAGAAAAAAAGTTCAAATAGTATTTATTTGTAGGATCTTCAAGCACAAGATCGTGCACATCGTATTGGCCAACAAAATGAAGTTAGAGTATTACGTTTAATGACAGTGAACAGTGTTGAAGAAAAAATTTTGGCTGCTGCACGATATAAATTAAATGTTGATGAAAAAGTTATACAAGCTGGTATGTTCGATAATAAATCGACAGGAAATGAACGTAAACAATTTTTACAACAAATATTAACACAAGAGAACGAAGATGCGGATGAAGAAGAAGATGAAGTGCCCGATGATGAAACAATAAATCAAATGATAGCACGATCAGAAGATGAATATAATCTATTTAATGTAAATTTGTACATTTTCTGTTTATTTGAATTTTGTGATAAATATTTACTTATTTGTTTAGAGAATGGATCGTGAACGTCGACATGCTGATGCACGATTGGCAAATCGTAAACCTCGTCTCATGGAAGAATCAGAATTACCAGCATGGTTATTAAAAGATCCAAAAGAATTAGAAAAACATCTTCTTGATCAAGAGACGTTGGATCTAGTTGGACGTGGTGCAAGACATCGAAAAGAAGTTGATTATACTGATGCATTAACAGACAAAGAATGGATGAGAGTAAGTTAAATTTTAATTGTAGAAATTAATTTTTTTATATTTATTATTCGAATTTCAATTTAAAGGCAATTGAAGATGGAAATCTTGATCAAATAGAAGAACGAAAAAGACGTCGAAAACGACGTATTATAAATGTTGATGATGACGATGATATGAACGATATAATTAAAGAAGAAATGGATTTGGATATGAGTATAACAAATAATAATATGAGTTTAAATACAAGTAATAATCCAAATTCGAGTGGTAAAAGTAAACGTTTGGGAAAACGAAAAATAAAAGAAAATAATCGAAATAATAATGAACCAATAAATCCAAAATTACTCAAACAAATGAAAGTTCTACTTGAAATTGTTATTAAATATAAAGACAAGTATGTTAGAAAGTTATTTTTTAAGCATAAATTTAAACTATTATTATTTGTTTATTTTAGTGAAGACAATCGAATACTTAGCCGTCCATTTATGCGTTTACCAACACAAAAAGAGTTACCAGAATATTATGAAATGATTAAACATCCAGTAGATTTTAATAAAATTAAAGTTTGTTATCTAAAAAATTTCTTTTATTAATTTTCATATAAATAAGAGTTTTATTGTTTTATTTAAGAAAAAATTAGGTGAATATCGTTATCGTGCATTGGATGAACTCGAACGTGATGTGATGCTTTTATGTAAAAATGCTCAAGAATTTAATATAGAAAATTCGCCTGTAAATTGTATAAATTAAAGACGATAATTAAAATTATTTATTTTCTCATCTATTTTCAGATTTATGAAGATTCAATTATATTACAATCCGTATTTACAAATGCACGAGAAAGACTGGAAAAAGGTGAAATTCCTATTAGTTCAGATACCGAAGACGAATCCGATGATGATGGTACGTATCTATTACTCGTACATGTAGAACAATTTTTAAAATATTTTGTTCGATATCTAATGACCAGAGATTTTTTCTAGAACCACTAAAAAAACGTGTAAAAAAAGAAACAACTGTGAAAAAGGTACGTTTGATGTCTAACTGTTTTATCTTAAATATATCTTATCTAGAAATTTTTATTTTATTTTTAGAAACATCAACATCAACCACAACAACAACAACAGCAACAACGTAGCGGAAGTGGACGAAGGAAAAATCGAGTAATGAGTGATGAAGAAGATATAGATGAAGCAATTACTAACCAGGTTTGTCATTAATTAGAAAATGTTGTATACTGATTTTGAGAAGAAAAAAAATGTAGTATCTAAAAGATATGAATAACATAAGATAATAAAACGATATTTATTTATAGTCAATCGGTGGCGATGATGATGATGATGATTTCGAAGATACACGTGGTTCAAGTTCTCGTTATAAATAAATGAAAATCATTGTTCATATTTATCTTTTTCAAATGTGCATGTTCTTAAATTTAAAATTCATCAGAATTTAGCTCTTAATATGCAAAAAATGACATTATCAGCGTGTACACATAAATTTTATCTAAGGATCTTGAATATTCTTGCAGAGGATTTTTTTTAAACTAGTTTTTGTTTGTAATGATATTATTTTTGTTGCTTTTTTTTCTTTCTCTTATTTGTATTTATATTTTTACGAAGTGAAATAAAACAAGATGTATGGTAAGGTTATTTTCATAAATTAAGCGTAAGTCGTAGATTAATCTCCTCAAACAAAACCTTTTTTTTAAATAAACAGATCGAAAATTGAACAGTTCGTGCAATATTTGCTTGAGTGTGTGTGTGTATATCAACAGGTTTACTTTTTATCATCCATTTCTCCTGTGCTTGTTTGTTCTTGGATTGTTTACCAATATTATGTGTTATATATAAGAGCAACACTTTTGTTTCCGTTGTATATATTTTAAAACGTATAAGTATATTAAATAAAAATTCTTTTGCAACATTTTCTTTGCCTATATCTTTTTGTTCGTTTTGTGTGTGAAAAAGCTTTTTGTTGTTTTGTTTGCTTTTGATTTTTGTTTTCTTATATTTAAGAGAAAATAATAAAATTTCATATCAAAGCATCTGCTAATAAAATTGAATTACAGTAAAATAAGTTCTATATAAAATTCAAATATGATTTATAATACAAAATTTTTTTCAGTTCAATAATTTCAATCAAATTTATATCCATCTTTAATTAACAGTACGATGTGCTGAATAATATTTTTTCAGATACAATATGTCACTATGATCTCTAAATTTATTTGTAAATTATTCTTTAATATAATCGTGCACAGTTCTTCAAATAGTCATTTTAAAACTGTAACGTCGTGACTTCACATGTGAGAATTTGTACACGTGAAATATCGATTGGAAATTGTATCCTATTTCTTGCTATATCATTCGATATTATTAAAGCTTTATCTATGATAGTTCAATATTATCAAATGTCACTTTGTAATTCTTTAGTATCTTACCAAAATTTGCTTCTATTCAATGTGAAATAGTTCTGCGATGTTATTTAAAAATCAATCCTATTTTGAGTTAATTTCTTTTTCTATACATGTGGCTTGGATAAGTTAAAATAATTAATAGGATGAATTTACCGACAAAATATTTGAATCTAGTACTAGCTTTACTACGCTGAGACTGTGGATCAATACTTGTGAATAATTGAGCCCACCTATGATGAAAAAATTGACAATGTAGAAATAGTTGTTTCATGTTTAACACATTTTAAACTAAAAACTCTATGGAGATGTTCCCGTTTGTACTTACCAAATAGATGGAAAAGAAAAGGATAAAAAAAAATAAAAAATTGTCATAATTAGTTTCACTGACCGTAAACGAGTAGTAGATAGTTATTTATGTGTACGATCGGACGTGAATAATCACAACAAAGAGAAACATTAATAACTGAAAAACAAAACAGTTATTTCTTATTGCTATTTATAATAAGAAAATTCTATTTAGTCTAATTTATCGATTGAATTTTTAAGTTATTTTATGACTCGATTTCAATATGAAAAAAATTAATTCAAAATATTTCTAAGTGTATAGAAAATTTTTAGAGTATGTGTATTCACATCGGATATAAAATATATGGGACCGTAGTTTTTATGCTTGAAATTATGACTAAATCATTCTCGTATCGTTCGAATGAATTGGTCATACATTCTTGCTATAATTATAGTAAAAAATGATGATGAGATAAGAAAAATCAAAATCAAGTGATCACAAAAACTTGTCCAAATACTTTTCTAAAAGAACGAAAACAAACATTAAAAAAGAAAATGAGAATATCATTCATGGTAAAGTACACTTATTTTACCACATTTGAAAAAAATATCATTACAACAGTTATCTGCTAGAAAGAAGAAAGAGCAAAAAATATAACAATGTTTACAAGCTAATATAGAATGTCGAATATAAAAAAATAAAATAAATATGAACCATTTAAGATTAATGTTGTGTACTAAAAAGAATACGAATATTGTTATAATTTTAGTTATCAGTAGTCAGAGTTAAACGTTGATATTGTATCTGTTACAATAGAATGATCTATTTTTATGATGATGGAAGAAATAAAAATGTCTTAGCTAACATGGTCATAACAGCAAAATGACATTTAACATAAATAAGAAATTGTTCATGATGTATTCACTAGCAAAGTACTAACGTAAGTTTGGGCTAGTCTTGGAAGTGAAAACAAGCGAATAAAATACATGTCTGTTTACTAATAGAAAAATAACAATATCAATCGAATTCTACAATGAACAAGAGAAAAACACAATAGATAACTACAAAAATTCTTTTCTTAAAGCTCTTAAATAGTTTGATTTGGAAAAGAATAAGCAGTTGAATATTAGTCTTCTCAGCATTTTCACTACGTCTTGGACACAACATATATCAGAGAGAATAATATTCTTAAAATAAGATCAGCAATAGACTAGAATGGCATTAATATTGAAAGTTCCCGAACAAAATCACGAGGAGAAATAAAAAATCCAGTTGCTTGTAACTATACTGTTATGTTCGGCACATCGATTAATCTTCTTCATAGGATAGTTTTCGCCCTCTAATTGGTCTATTTTGACTATTAATACTGCTGCGATTGATATTACGCGTCAATGTGTCTATTTCTGAGTATGTATCATCGGTGAATGACGAATCAATATTTATCGTTGTTGGCTTTCTACCAAAATAAAAATTTCCATTCGATTGTGATTGTCTGTGTACTTGTTCATGATTTTCTGACCGGGCTGATGACTTTATTCTATTGCCATTAGTTGCTTTATGAGCGAACCGTCTTTCATTGTCCAATTGTGACATTTGCCTTGGCAGTGAAAAGTCTTTTTTTTTCAACTGTTGTTTTTCAACCAAATATGCCCGCGACATATTCAAAACAGGCATCATTAGCGTTTTACGTTTATTCGTCTCGTTTGATATTCTGTTTGAATCACTATTTACATATTTTGTTGTAAATTGATTTGTATATTCATCGACTGTCGGATCGCGTAAATGATTGATACTGCCAATATTTAACGCTGATGTATTATTATCATCAAGCGAAATAATATGTCCGTGTTGTAAACGTAGCTCTAAATCTTCACCCGTATAATCCAAGCCAATTCGATTTCCTCTTGTCGTTGTACAATGATAAAAGTGCTGGGATTGGTCTAATTCATCGTTCTCATTGTATTCCGGATTTTTAAGTGATATCGAGTATCTGGAGCTTAATAACATTGCATCCTCATCACCATTACTGTTATTCAAGTCGATTGTTTCTTCTTGCTCTTCGTATGAACGTTCATTATCCAAATTATTATAATCTATCTCTTGTTTGAAATCACCATTATCTGATGTTTGTGTGATACGATCACAAAAAAAGATATTATCACATTGGGTGAAATGATCGTACATGATATTTAAGTCAGCCATAGTTGTTTGATCCTGAACGTGTGGTTTTTGTCTTTCAATACGATCAGTAGGTAATGGTTCACGATATCTTAAAACAACTGGTGACAAACATCGTTGATCAACTGGTGGAAAATTAACGCCAATACTTCGTTTAGATATTGGGTGTCTATGTTTTTGTTGTCGTGATGCTGCCGTGGTAATCAACGATTCAGTATCAGACATTGTTGATGCGTTTTTCCTCGGTTTTGTCTCATTTTGTATGCCACGATCATGTTTAATTATGTCCATGCTTGTATCAGTTTCGGCCGATACCATTCTTTTCGGCACACTGGTGTGGCGTACTTCCGGAGGAGGAGGTGACACAGACAGTCTATATTGAGGAATTATTTTTCTTACTGGAGATGTATACAAATCACGTTCATCTTGACGATTGCGCTGATATCGTTTACGATCGTTCGCTACTTCGAGTATTACCGGTCCATAATACTCTTCCGATGATCTTCGTCTTCTCCTTTGAAATCCACAGACACCTTTATCGGGATGATCATCACACGGTATCCAGATGGAACGATTAGGTGGCAACTTTTTATCTTGTACGGGATTATAAGAATTTTTTGGAAACGTTGTTTGTGTGGATGTTGAATGTGGTAAACGAGGTACATCTGTGCCGAAATTTCGTTTAGTGATTGGATCATACATGGTTGATGCATTTCGGTGTAACTTTTCGTCCGATTGCACACTTGTGTTAACAAGTTTTGGCTTGTCGAATCCTGCAGGTGGCTTCGATGGCATAATTAGTTCTTCATTTTGGGGGTATTTACGTCCCCCCCCCAGTGTAAGCGTTTTCAAAAGTACCAGGAGTCTCCACTGATTGTGAGTCCACAGAATCACCGTTCTCAATTGTAACTATTTTTCGTATAACTGGATGTGACTCACCTATAAGAAGGAATTCGTGTGAAAAGATATATTACAGTAATAGAAAGTACAACTTGCATATGGGTAAATATTTTTATTTTGTTATAAATATTATTCTTGAGTGAGATGGCACGCGTATTTGAGATCAACTTCGAATTAATTATTTAGAAATTATTTAGAGTATAGAATACTCTCCAAAATGGAAATCAGCAAACCAATTGCAAATATTTACTTGACGTATATATATATCTAAAACTTATTTTTTTTGTGTCTTTTTTGCTCCTCTTCTCTCTATCGTGTGTATTAAAAACTTTAAAATGGTATTCTAATTTAGTGATCATATGTCACGTCACTGAAATCACTGAAAAAACAATGTTTTATCATTTTATTTAGTTAAATCGATGATACTTTAAGTTTTTTCAAGGTAAAATGGAGAAGAGAGAGAAAGAGAGGAAACTAGCATACTAATATTATTTACAACCGTGTTATTCTTTTATTTTTAATTTAATGATTGTAACAGATTACTGTCAAGAATGTATAATTGATAGTGTTATTAAAATATTTCTGACTGCACCGTATCTATTTTTTGGCTTCTTATTCGCCCCAAATTAGTGTTATTTCATTGCTTTATTCATCTCATTATTGATCATGTCTTTCGTAGTACAAAAAAGTAATTACAGAAATGAAAAAGAGAAAGATTAAATACCATAAAAGATATTTTAAGCTAACCAAAAAAAAACATAAATAAATATTCAATTAGTCTTAGAAAAAAAAAGTATTTCAATACTGAAGATTATGACTAAACAAAAAAAAGTGAAAATAGCTTAATGAAGAAGGAATAGTTTAATAATGTCACATGAATACTTTAGAAAAATTTAAATATTTTTCAACAAACTGCTTGTTATTAGCAGAGTTAGTATCTATATACGATTGCAATACCAGAGAAATCTTTGGTTTTTTGCTCAAAATTTTTATCATGTTGATCATAGAATAAAATGTTTTATGAAATAATTCTGAAATATTAAACTATCAAAAGATTACAATATATAGAATATTTCTTAACAATTTCATACTTGATTGAAATACTCAGTTATAAAGATTATTCGAAATAAACTAAAGAACCCATAATACGAAACAAAAACTATTTAACAATTAGGAAAGTTAAACCAGTGTGAAAACCATTGCTAGTTTTAGGAAGAAACTGAATATTAATATTGCATATACTCAATTAATCATTTCTTCTTGTTTTTTTTCTTGTTATCGATCTTTGACACATTACTCTTGTCACTATTGGAATATTGTGATGATATTGTTCTGTTGGATTCATATCGTGTTGGATGATGTGACTGTTGCGGTTGTTGTTGTTGATCGGATGTGTTATATTGCTGAGGAAGGGATTCAATAACACTAGAAGACTGTGCCTGCTCGTCATAGTCAGATATTCGCTTATTAGTATGTGATGGTGGTGTTTCTATGTCAGGATCCGTCGATGAAATTGCACCAGGTCGAACGTGTGATGAGAATGATGTTCTTGATTGTGTATCTTGTGCATTGTCATATACTGATGACTCGCGGTTGACATAATTAGATTTTAGTTTCGGATCATAAGTATTTTCATAAACTCTATCATGCTGTTTCACAGATGTGGAGGTAGTACGACGTTCGTCATAAGATGGTGTAGTTTCGAAAGACCGATAATACCGACTTTTCGGTATATTATAACCTTGCAATGAATCAGAGGTATTTGTTTCAGCATTTGTCAATAGCGTTAGTGGAGGATCTGCGTCCGCGTACGGGCTCTCTTCATCTTGATGGGACTGTGGTTCACGTTGCTGTAGTCTTCCATTGCGATTAATTCTATTCGACCCATTGTTTACCGGTGACTGTCCTAATACTTGATATATAGAATGGTTTCCATCGTTTTCTTCTTGTTCATCTTCCTCAATTGTTTCACGGCTAATTTGTTTTCCATGTTGTAAATAAATAGGATTAGATGGTGAAGGGCCAAAATTATATCTTTCGTCGGATATCTGAACCTGACTATTCTGAGACGTGGTATTTTTTGGTGATAATATCGGCGATGGAGAGTCAATACTTTCATAGAGTCCATAACCGTGTGACGGTTGGTTTGCTATTACAGATGCTTTTCGTTGATCTTTTGTCTCATTAGTAGGAGAATATAAAGTTTGTGGCACGTTTTGTGGCACATTAATAGGGCTGTTAGATTCATATATAGTTGACTTTCCGGCTGATACCGGCTTTTGATCATCATAGATCAGATGATCATTATTTTTCTTATCTGGCATAGTTACGATAGGCTCCTCCCGGTTTCGTTGTGGATTATTATCATTAACTATTAGTGATTCGCCAGCTGGGTGTAATCTTGGAGAATGATTGATATGTGTTTCATTGTTTTTTTTTGATAGTAAACTGTCGCCACTAGTGGATTTTTGCAATGTATTCTGATCCTTTTGTTTTATTCGATTAATTACTTGATCTGCTCGTTGGAGCGCGTAAAGTTTACCTGGACCTTGAACAACGGCTTTGAACGTCAATTCTGTATGAGTTGGAATATAATTATATAAATTTTTTTCTTCTGGTATCACGGGTCTCACTGATAAATCTCCACCTTGAATGTGATATTGTTTATCATCCAATGCTGAGTATAACGGAACTTGACGTTTGCCATTGTTTAGCTTTGTTTTATCTATCACTCCATTTATACTATCATCAGAGTCATTCGCACTATCGGAGTTATCAGTACTATAGCTTTGACTCAAAGACTTAGGTCGCTGTTTTTGTTTTAATTGATTTTTTGATGCTTCACGAAATCGTGTTGGTGTCAAATAGCGTTCGTGCTGATTTGTCGCTGGCATCGTGTACTCGCCCCATTCATCTGAGTGTTCCCAGTCTTCTAGAATAATTGAACGAGGACATTTGGTGGATGTATTTTGTTTTGTTTTATGCCCAGTTGTAGATGTAGATGATTTTGGTTGTTCATATCTAGGTATCGATGGTGTACGATTATAACTAGATGGAACGATAACATTTGTATACGTAACTGTATCAGAGTTATATGTATGAGAACTAAGTGCTGGACGTGATTTTACCCGATATTTTGTAGGTGTTAAGTAATTACTAGTATACGGCGATACTTGTCCCTGATATGTTATTTCATCATCTTGTGAATCTAATGTTTGAATGTTCTGATCAAATGTACGATTATCATATGGATTATGATGCTCGTTCTTCTCTTTTTCTCTTGGTGACGATTGATTGAAATTTGTTCTATGTTTCGAACGATTTATTGGCTGTATAGAATTATTTATCCTTTTGCCTGTAAACTGTTCATTTTCACTTTCACTACCAGTATTAATCGAACTTTGCTGTTGTTGTTGATGACTTTTATATTCTTGTGATAACTTTGGCTGGAGTTTTGTTCTACTAATTGAACCTGAACTCTCATTTTTTTCTTGTTTTCCATAGGATCTTGATCGAGATGGTCTATCATTTTCATAATTGCTATCATAACGTTGTTGAGCTTCTTGTTTCTCCGATTGTCCTGCTCTTCTGCTTGTGGAAGAAGATTCGTTGGTACCGTTTCTTTTATGTCTTCTAAATTCATTATCACTTGTCATTGCGTGCGTCGTATGAGTTACTGGATGGTACTGATTGCTTGTTATTTTCCCTGTCATGTTGTCGTCGTCGTCGTCGTTATTGTTGTCTGATGTACTTTCCTCTGATATATATTTATAAGCGATTAAATGTTCTGTTGCTATTGGTGTTCTTTTTTTTGAGAAAGAATAAATATTGCTTTTTACAGGATAAAATGTTGATCTTATAGATGCTAAGCGTTCATCTAGCACCGGTTCATAGATTGCTGTAAACAAACCTTGATTGGTGTCTTCTGGTTGTCTATCTAATGAATTATAATCTTTTCTGAAAAAATGTGGCGTTTCTGATGACAACGAATTAAGTTGGTTATTGTTAGGATAAAGATGCTCGTAGACCGGTTTTATATCTGTTAATTTAGAACCTGAAGTAAAACAAAAAATAAGTCACTTTTTTTTCAATTGACCGACGATCAGCTGCAAATGCATCCTCACAGCTTTTTTACTGTGAGGATGTACGGTGCGACGATACCATCGTTGAATCTCAATCCCTATAAAATCGCGATTGCTATTGATGTAGAGCTAAGATTCTTTAGCAGCGAAGAAATCAGCATCAGATGAGCAATCAGAAAAAAAACAGACACATTGAAAATAATGAAAGGACTTTTTGTTGATAAAACATGACAAATATTTGCAAAAAAACCTACATTCTATTTATTTGTACAGTTTGAAGAAAAAGAACCTAATAAGACGCTCGTATACAAAATAAAAAAATCTGATTTCAGAATTTCAGAATTTTCCTTGCATCATCGCACTGGCTGCCGTTTTATTATTTGAAACTGATCAAAGCTCTATTTACCTCGAATGTATCTCATGATTATAACAATGACAAAGATAAAATTATTGCGGTTTAATAGTCGTTTTTATATTTTTATCGACTCGGATTAAAGAAAAAAAAAAAAAAAATCTTTTGCCCCTATACTGACATGTGCGTCTATATTATCGAATAATAACAAAGTAAAGAAAAGGACGAAATTTGACATTAATTAGTAAAATGTCCATTCATAAATCGGAATGTGTCTGTTTGAAAAACAAAAATGAAAAACATAATATAGTTGAATAAAGTCCGTCGGGGTTGAGTAATTTGATTATAGTCTACGAGCATCTTGTTGATATCATAATAAAAAAGATTAAAGAAAAAAACTAAAATTTACTATATACGCTTTTAATTGTAATTTTCATTAAATTTACGTTGTAAAGATAACACATTATAAATTTTTTTTATAAAAACTTTTCTTCTTTTTTATACCTTTTACTAGTATATACCTATAGTAATCAAGTAATAAAAAATAAAAAAAATCATAAAAAATGACTTTATTTTTAAGTATACGACAGATATACTGTGTGAAGGAAAAAATATAATAATTGTTTCTATGCAAAAATACGGATTTAACTAAACGCTTTTGAAATATGATGTTGAAATTGTTAAAAACGATCATATTACTAGTTTAAAATAAAAATAAAAATCTTTCTAGTGTAGCTCCTTTTGATCTAAAGATGAAATTTTACAAAGTCTACATATTTGACAAGAGTCTACTACTCTTTAGCAGATTGCTCTCCAGTTGTCTCCCCCCTCCCCCCATGTCGTGCATTCAACGTTCGTCTACGAGTGAGAAGTTCAAGTTTCTCAATTTTCCGTATACTCGTGGTCCGTATACTCACATGTTTTTTCCTTTCAATACCATGTACACGTTAAAATTTCATAAAAGAATCAAAAAATGTTCTCAAAAATAGCAGTTGTTTATCGAGCAAAAAAATAAATTTAAAATATGATTTTATAAAATGTCTTTAGCTTAGCTATTAACAAACAAAAAAACACTTTACTTCAGTATTGTTGACAAAAAAAAACAACAAAAAATAATCAGTAGCTATTGGCTAAGTAGCCAGTGAATCATTTCATATACGTCTTCAACAGAACGGCATTCTCATTGTGACTAGCTTTCATTAATTAATTACAGAGCAATAATTATTATCAAAACAAATAGCAAAAATAATTGAAATTAAGAGAAAGATTTTGATAATAATTTATTATATGAAAAAAAACAGCATATACCTTATTTAATAGATATCCATTTTTCGATGAAGAATTGTTGTTATAACTCATATTAACCCACCACTGTGTAATGATTATAAATGACATAAGAGAAGAAGAAAAAACAAATACCATATTTTAATATGGAATGTATTATAAAAAGAAAGAGAAATGCAAATATAAACAACTTCACAGGTATGTCTCCCACGTGATATCACCTTTTTTTATATAAAAAAAATTTTCATTAAAAACTTCTTATCTTTAAAACTGAATAAGAAAAATGAATAATAAATTATGTTTAAGAATAAAGTTCTTTTGATAATTAATTAATTCAAAATCATTTTTCATAAAGCAATGAGATCTCCAAACTTTATTGTATCAAAAAGATTGGAGGAACAAAAAGTATTCTCGCTTAATAGATGTATCAAAAATCATAAGAGTGATTAATATTATTTCAAAGAAAGATACAAAATGTCAGATTAAAACATAATGATATAGTCAAGTTGTAAAATTAAAAGATTAAACAGTTCAAATCAAAATTATTCTTTAAATTATTTCTTCTAACAAAAGGTGCTTAATTAAAACTTAATATATTTTTCATACAGTATCAAATTTGACAGAAATAGCTTTCTGTAGAATCAAAAACAAAACACATACCTTAGATCAAAAAGAGATCATTTATAATTTCAAAGTCTTTTAATTATAGTTGAAATAAATGAATAAATCAATGCGGTCATATGCAAGTTGTACTTTTTTTTTATCAGTTAGTTGAAATAAATTATTCCAAATGTTGATTAGTAGTTAGTTGTTAGTCCTTACCCACGACGATTTTATGCCATGGTGTGTGAATTTCAGGTCTTTCCATGCTGACAACACGAATTTCATATCGACCAGCTAAAACAAAACATTATTGTATATTTCTCTTTATTACTAAGAATAAATCATACGTTGTTGAATTGAATAATCAGAAAAATCAACTAATGATCTTCCTTGTATTGGTTCTAAATCTCTCAATAATATTGTAACAGCATGTGGACTAAGTTCATCTAGTATAAAAACAAAAACATTTATATTTTGCTTCTAAAATTATTTATTCATACTTTTTTCTTCTAATTTGACACGATCAGTTACATTTTCATCGCCAGTTGCACTAAATGTTTGTAATTTTTTACCAGACATAACCGTACTCTGTGGCTGATTAAACCATTCGAGATATGTTAACTTTGGTGCTGAAAAAATGAAGACATATTCATAAATATATTAGACTCTCTCACATTTAACTTTACCTTTTATAGATTCTATTAATTTTTTAAATTGAAAATATTCATTAACACCGACAAAATTCTATAAACAAAATACTTCATCTCATATCTCATAGTATTTGACAATTTAAAAACATACCGCTGAATTCAATACTTCATCACGTTTTTCATCTAATGTTTCTAGATCATTAATACCCTAAAATAACGACTATATATTTTGAAAAAAAAACTAGAAAAACAAATTAGAAAACAAATTTCTTACACTTGCTAATAGAGCATTTAAACTCTCTTCTAATTTAAATTCTTTTAATAAATTAACTAATTGCATATCAACACCATATAAACCAATTCCTTGTATTCGTATATCAGCTGCACCATAATTTTCCGTAATAAATATTCGTACAAAACGTGTTTTTACCGGTTGAAAAAATATATCATGAATATTTCTGTCTTTTATTAAAACGAAAAATAAATAAATAATTTCATATATTTCTTTAATTTAATTAAGAAAAATATAAACTCGTAATATTACAGTCACACTATTATCGAGTAACTCGTAACAAAATGAATTGAAAGTTAATAACTCTGTTAGTTACTTTTGAGTTATATTTAACGTTAACCGTTTATTTTATCACCTGGTTATATGAATTTTTGTCTTCTAGCTTAAAATATAACTCAAAAGTAAATATGAAGTTACTAGTTAGTTAGTAATAAAATCGTAACTTAGTAAAATTTAGCTTACTTCCAATTGGACATTGAAATACTTTCACTTTTAACCATGGACCACTAAAGAGAAAATGATTTTTATATGAAACTAAATTTCAAGTGTTTTCAAGAAAAATCTTACTTAAACGCATTTGATACATCAATTCTGCCTTCTTTTGGAGTTGATGCATTATCACTAAATTAGATAAATTAATGATGAAGAAAAGTCATTTTTTATTGTCTTATTATAAAAATAATGCAAATAGAACTATTAAAATTTTCATTTCACTCACCATCCTATTAAGCGAAGACCATTGATATTATATTGATGTTTCAAATCAAATATGACCCATGCATCTTTTGGCTGAGGACATGCCCAATATGTTCCATTCGATGCTAATATATGAAATGAAAAGAACAATGCAAATTAGAAAAAAAACCAAAATAAAACTAGTATGTGTTTGTCATACGCTCTAAAAGATTTTGAACGGATGATCCTGGTGTAGTTCGACTTCGATATTCATCACTATCTAATGTCCAATTTGAGTGACTTTGTAAGAGTGGATATGCGTACGATATTGCGGATACTAAAATATGATCAAACGAAATTAATATAGATACTAAATTAAAATTGAAAATAAAATCAAAAGTTTATTTGAGCACTACATGCATAACGTATATCATAGGCATAAAAAAAAAAATATATATATATATATATCAATAAAAACTAGATAATAAAGCAGACTACGACTATATAAAGCATCAAATAGCATGCACAGAAACGACTAAAATTGTCATATCTTTAACTTTTTCATCCACATTCTTACCCAAAATAGTATTAATTCTTTTTTTTTGTTTTACTATTCATAAAAAATTATTCAAATATTAAAAGAAACGTTTTTCATAAACGAGTTTTACTAATTTTTTGTTAACTTAAATAACTTTAGAGAACGAAAGTGAGTGGAAAGTAAATGTACTAACTATATCCCAATATAACAACTACCATGCAAAAAACAACAACAAAATAGACGACATATATTTAACGATTTTTCTTTGATGTGCAAATAAAAAATATTTCTTTGTGAATAATACCTTGTATAACATGCCACAATATGTTTAACTAATCAGCTAATTATGAAGACAACAATGAAAACTTACTGGATACTTGTTAAAACACTAAAAGTCAGATGTTAGAATGAAAACAATTTTCTATTTGAGATATATAATGAATGTGTAAATGGTTTATTTCGTTTTAATACTCAAAAGAAAAAAAACATTATCAAAGGAGCAATTAAGAAAAAAATATTTGCTGACAAATCGAAAACAGTTACAGATGGTCAACTTAATTTCTTCTTTTTTTTTTTAACTATATAGTTTTAGTAAAATTTAAAGATTACACTCAAATATACAATTAAAATTTAAATACTAACCTTGACTATTTCCTGATGTATACAGCAATAATTCTGGATGAGCAATTCGTTCTATACGATTGGTTTCTAAATGAAATAAAATGATAAAATTGATTGAATAGTCAGATTGACTAATAAAAATTAAAGTAGATTACCATTATCACACAATAGAACGAACGATTTATAAACAGAATGTCTTGAGAGAAAACAAAAATAGTGTAAAATATTCTAGTAATATACACGTTAAGAAGAAGAAGGAGGAGGAGAATGTGTGATTATTTTTAATATTGATCGAAGACAAACATACACGATCTATAGTTTAATTTTTACTAATATATACGAAATCTATGAAAAGTAAAACTCTTCAATTTGATCTCAAAATAAAATATTGAATTGAATTGAACACAACAGTTATGCTGTTCTATCTATTATCGTCCAATTCACTTTTAAAGATATAGAACGAGAGAATATAGTCTTCATAAATAGTGAAAAATCAGAAAATATAATGACTCTTAAGTATAATAGTAGTCAGTAACTAACTAATATTTTTGTTTTTAAACTAATGATTGAGTAAATGAGAAAAATAAATTATAGGAGCAATGCAAAGGGTAGTACACACAAAGAAACAAATGAGCGATAACAAAAACAACAATATCAACATATAAAAGTTGTTTTGTAGCTTTAGTTGAAGAATAATGCTTCAAAAAGAAAATAACGATCAACTGGAAAGTGATTTGATCTATCAATAAATATTCTTCAGACCATTAGGATCATAACATTTCCAGTTGTTTTTTATGTGAAATTAATGAAAATCAGTATTATATTATATGTATATAGCATTTTCTCACCTCCTCCACTTCTAATCGGAGCGTTTGGTCTTACTGGAGTGGCTAAAAATCGAATGTCGATCTTTTTTAATTTCTCTTTTTTTAATATATTTTCTTTTCAGTTCATTAAAAGAACGTCAAATGAATCAGAAAATATTGACTATCTCTGCTTACTTTGAAGTATATTTACGAATATTTGTTGTTGTTCCGGTGCTAAATATTCGGCAATAGACAGTGGCGTTTCACCACGATTATTTGCTACATTAATGTCTGCTCCATAAGCCACTAATAATTGAGTAGTTGACATTTTTAATGAACGTACACTAGTACAAACAAATAATATATTTTGTAACTATAATTATATACTTAATACTAATTTCTTTAATTTCTCTTACTTACGCTACATGCAATGGAGTAGTATGTGTTCTATCTACCATTTTTACATCGTAACCATAGTCCAGTAAAACTTTAAGACAATCATCATGACCAAGACGAGCAGCGATAACACAAGCTTTATAACATTTATGTATTAAATTTCTATCATACATTAATAAACAATTCATTATTTCTAAATCAATATGTTATATTTGAACTCATCTTAGCATTATTTTTCTTTCTCTATCTCTCTCTCTCTCTCGCTCTGTTAATACCTGGTTTATTTGTTAATGCTGCTTCATCAATTGGTATTCGCTGATTTTTATCTTCCATGTAAAGATCACTGCCAGCCTTTATAAAAAAAACATTAATTAACGAACTGTTCTTGTATATTAGACATGACATACAAGTAACAATGTTTGTATATGATTCGCATTTTCATCATTATAAGATGCAACAGCTCTATGTAACGCTGTTTTTCCCGATTGATTTGGTATATTTGGATTAGCATTATACTGTAATAACAAATCGACTATATGATATTTTTGACGATGTACAGCTAAATTTAGGGCTGTATCTCTAAAACAACATCAATAACTTTTTATTTTCGTTTTCAATACTAACATAAGTAAAGTGATTAAAATTGTTCATTCCACTAACCTTGTTAAGCATTGTTTATTTGGATTAGCACCGTGAACAAGAAGAATTTTTACTTTTTCAAATGAACCTTAAAGTTTAAAATAACAACAACAATATAAATCTTCTTGGTTGTATTATCAGATCAGTAAACAAACGCAAACCTTTTCCTGATGCAACCATTAATGGGGTGACGCTAAAAATTAAAAAAAAAGTAATCGAAGGATGTGTAAATAAATTTATTCAGCAAGAGATATATTCTTTAATCGTCAGAAAAGATGGACAAAATTTTTATTTAAAATAGTATAATTATTAAAACATATTGTGGGAACTAGGAGCAGAGAGAGAGCTAAATGCGATAATACCTGTATTGTTAACGATGAGATAATCTCCTGTGAATGGTCAGAAAACAAAAAACAAGTAAATGACTTGTCGTAAAATTCAAATAAAGAAGCAGTTCAGTAATTAAGAACGTTGTTTAATGAAACAAATCAATATACGAAATGTTCTGATATATTACAATTGAATTGATGAGCAAGATGAAAATTCTTCGATTCATTAACCGATTTGACAACAAAAACATATTGTGTGCATCAGCATCTTCATTACTGCATTCTTCAAGCTGACAATAATATTTTTCACTGAAAAAATTCACAGTTGAATATTCCCGAACATATACCACACAGAAAGGAAACAGACAGATTTAGAAGGTGAACCAATAACACACGATCATAAGCTCACAAAGGAAATATTTATGGAATTATTTAACAAGAAATTGTGAACAAACAAAACACAAAAACTTTCTGTGGAAATCGTAGACGAATAAGATGATCTATGTTGCATAATGGAATTTTGTATTCTTCAATTAACTAACAGTTGCAGATAATCCACACACAACGGTTTAATAAACACAACAAAAACGATATGTTCGTTTGAATGCGACGTAATCAATCCACTTCGGAAAGAATACAAAAGTTTCCAAAAGTTTATTGATCGCCTTCTGATGTATTATGCAAAGACAGATGAGTAAATATAAAACAGTTTGAAAACTATAATGAACGATGTCTCAAAGATGCTGATCATCGAATAGATTTCCAAAAAAACAAATCGAAATAATTATAGATGTTCTGTAGTACAACCATGAAATTGATTTGCTGTCGCGGAAATGAGCAATCAATTTAATTTAGTATAAAGTGTATTCTAATGTCGGGTCAGGAGTTCTTAGCACCAAAGACAAGGTAGACATTCAAAGCAACAGAAACTCTTTAAACAAGACAATCATATTCTAAAAGTATGTAAATTCAAAGCGGTTTAACATATTCGTTTAACACATTAATCAAAAGTTATCCGATGCAGTCAAAAATCGGCATAAAATTGCTCACAAAATAAGAATCAAAGCATTTTTTTACAAAACTAAAAAGAATTTTGTCGTTCAAACATGGAAACAATTGAGGCATTTTGTAGAGAATTCGATTCTCTATCCGATGATATAGTTTTCAGAGTTTTTGAAAAACAACATCTAGGTCAGGAAACGAGTTTAAAATTCAAAATTTTTAAATTTAAATTTAGACTATGAAAATTTAACTTTGATTTGTTTTTGAGCTAATTGTCGGTACCGGTACTTGCGTGGTGCCGATACCAAGCGTTCGGTACCAAATTAGTACTGATACCGAAAGTATCGAAGTTGTTCTCATTATCTAAATCTATTTTTGAACTCACAAGAAGCTTTCTCCTCCTTAAATCACGAAGACTCTCGTCCCTTAATTTTTTTCGTAGGTATCGAACTTTTCGATACTTTTCCTGGCACCGAATCGAAAGTACCGAACGATTCGATACCTAACAGGGTACCGAACTGACATTTTCGGTACTGCGCGAAAACAGTACCTGTACTGAATTACCGACAATTACCTGTTCGTAATCAGCGCGAAAAACTGCGTCTAATAATGCTTTTTAAACCGTTGTTCCAGTGAAAACAAAAGTTCGAACCTTCTGATCCGAAAAATGACCGTTAGCTGGCCACACCATAAATAATCTTTATAGTTACAATCTTACTAAATATATAATTAACTGTAACTAACGTATACATTTTATTATGAAAAAATGGCAAGAAGAGTGCGATGTTTTGCTGACAATTCCTCAAATACTAATGATAAGGAAAAATGTGTTTCTCAATTTTGCCCACAACAAACAACAAGTGGATTAAAATTAAGGGTAGCCTCCTCTCCTTTTTCACCTTGTTGTCAAATACGGAGCACGCGTTCGATTGAGCTTAAATTTATATCGGAGATAGAACAGCGAAAAAGAAACTCGATGTATTTTTGGTCAGAATTTAGTGACATGATTTTTCTATGGATTTTCTGGAAAACTCCACTTTTCATCCAGTTACATTATGACCCCTCGAAAAAATGGACCGATCAAGTCGAAATTTTCACCACAGATACTCTACACTCTATCTTAGGTTCGAAAGTTGTTTTTCGAAAAATATACTTCCCTTCTCTTTACAAGGAAAGCATATCCTTCGAAAAAAAATTTTTTTTCTCGTCGATTTTCTTTTCGCTGTTCTATCTCTGGTATAAATTTGGGCTTAATCGAACGTGTGCTCCGCCTCTGGCAACAAGGTGAAAAAAAGGAGAGAAAGAGTACTCTTAACAATATTGAGGAAAAAAAGTATTTAAATCACGAAAAACTGATCAAAAATGTACTGATGCAATAGTTAAGTTAGGGGAATATGCTATAGTGTAGAGTGAACATTTCATTTCAAAATGGTGCATGAACCCTCGAGTTGTATCGTTTGTTCTTCATTTTTCAGATTGTGCCCAAATCACAATTTTAAGACTATTTTTAATAAATCTTTGTATTCAACAATAGCTAATTCATCTCTTTTTGAGAAACATCTTATTGTGCACATATGTCAAGGATCAAATTTTTACTCAGAAAGACGTATTTCTATAAAATGAGATATTGATATATTTCGTATCTATGTTAGATCTTACTTTATAACCAGTTTAAGTGAGTGATATTCATCAGTTTTTTTTTAAAATTAAACTACTTATAAATTTGGATACAAACATGCTAGAAATTATTCAGACATCTCGTTTTGTAAAAGTGATGCTTCGTGAACAAAAATATATATCTTTTAGAAAACATGGAACACAGCATTTGTTTGAAAATACGAACATCATTAAAAAAACTAGTTCATGCTTCTATGCAGCAAGAAGAAAAAATGACAAGTATAAAGTGATATGACATACTTGTATTTTGTGCTAACGCAGTCAATAAAATCAATACGATCATTAATGACGCCATCAAAATTAAGTACATCTTGTAGGTTACGAAATCGACGTCTATTAGGAGGATTTAAAAAATTCTGAAAATAAATAAAAATTAAATAAAATTAAAAATATTTACAAGAATAATAATTGTTACCAGTAGTGTGTCTGCGTCGGCTTTGTCCACAAGAGTGAACAGTTGACGTGGTTCACTCTCCCCATCCACCATCTGAAATACATTAAAACAAAACAAATTTGTTATTATAACATAACAAAACGCTTTGTCACATCATTTTGTTGAAATAAAAGGAAATAATTTGAATTTAAATTAATTCTTTTAACATGTTTTACAAAAAATACGAATTAAATAAAGATAAGTATTGTAAATCATTGAAAGGAAAAAAGAGCAAAAAGTATCACAAAATTTTTTTGTCGAGGATATAAAACAAAAGACAATAAAAAGAACCAAATAAAAATGTATAAATAAACACTAACATTTTTAAAAATCAATACACACAATAGTAATAAATCAGTTTAAAAAATGACTCACACTGGTGTACATACTCTAACATGTCTCTTATCCTTGAACAACAAAGAGTAATAGTAGCTAATAGTTTGTCACCGTCAAAATTACACGATAGAATTAAAACACACACATACACTTTTCTTAAAAGTGTCGTATGTCTATCTGGCTAATATTCACGATCATAATATCCAATACTATGATCTTACTATCGATAATTGCGTAGAGATATTAATTGAATAAAGAATTTAATTAACTAATTCTAAATTGATTAATAGTTGTTGATAAATTTTGATAAATTATTTTTAATAATGCTAAACGAGGCATTATGGATGGAAACAGTAGTATAACGGTTTCTTTTGATGTATCATCAATAATAAGTCCCAAATAAAATATAATTCGTTGCTAGAATAATGAGAACAAATATGATATGAAACTATGATCATGTGTGTATATTTTAGGACAATATTACTAAACTTACAGCAATAAAACCTTCATTGATAAATATATCTTTAATTCGATTATAACTAATAAATGTTGTTGTTTGTCGTCCAATCAAATATGTTGTTGTTAGTTGAACACCAATTTGTGTACCAATTGTTAAACATTCTTAAACAAACGAGAAAATGACAATGAACATATTTTCATCTTTCGCTATTATATTTACCTTTTCGAACTCTCAAATATGCTTTAAGAACAACACCACCCATTAACAATGCTGCAAAGATAACTAATAGACTACCATCCTAAAATAGATTAGTTTTCATAGAAAATTCAAAAAAATCATAGAAAAAAATTTATCATACTCTTTTATGTAAACCAAACAGTAGAGCCAAATACGTGAATATTATTGTCCATACAAGCCATCGTTGTACACTTATCGTCGAACGTTTAATACGATATTCAGCACATGTTCCATTTTCATGCTTCAATATTTCGTAATTAATCGATTCTCCGAAAATATTTTCACAAGTATTCGAGTCATATATATAATACATTCACGTTTGGTACGTCAGTTTGAACACAAAAAAACAACAAAATTTCTAAAATATAAAGAAAACACATAAGATGAACTGTTGGGAAAATAAAACGTTTCATTATTCTACACATGTGTCAAAAAAAGAATAAAAGAAGAATTCAAAAGTAACAGTAGTGGAAAGGTGAGTAAAATATTCTATTTTACTGATTATTTTTGGATAAAAAGAAGAATGGTACTGAAGAATACGCAAGTTGAAATTATAAAGACAACTTGAAAAACAGAGATATATTGCTCAATGATAATGTAAAAAACACTTTGCGCTATAAGAAAATGACAATGCTAACTAAGCGATATCAGCTTTTTAATATCAATTTATACCATCTTTTTCAAGATTTTTGTATAGATAAAGTGATCGACATTGACTTCAAGATATACAGAGTCTACCATATTACCATTTCTATTTTTAGTCAATTTATTTTTTTCTCTAGTTTTGTGTTTTTGGCTAAAGGACAATTCTACGGCGTTTTTCTTACTTCAAATGCCATTAATTTTCATTTATTGTTTATTATCTTCACTTATCGCATATAAACTAGTATTAACATCCATTTTATTCTATCGTATATCGAATTCATGTCATTTGCTGTCCTAGGAAGAATTTCTAGGAGTCTATCGACACAATCAACAAGAAGAACATTGCAAATTCAAACATGTCCCATCGATAAACCTTATTGTTGTGGAATGTGTCAGTATCAATACGCTTAATTGACGAGGAACGGTAAGATTTCTGTTCTCAAAGTAAAATAAAACATTTTACACACTGTTTTTGTTTGTTTCAAGATTCCCAACATCACCACCAAAATACGATTTATCTGTTAAAAAACTATTAGAAGAAAATCCAAATGATTTAGCATTACAGCAGCTGTGGAATGAAACAGGCTATTGAATAACAATACGTTATTCAATAGCCTGTTAAATATAAATAATTAAAAGTTCCTCAACGCATGAAACATTCATACCATCCTTCTTATTCCATTCATTAATAGTGGTGGTAATTGATGACAAGAATCAGCTTGATAACATACAGTAGCAACAAGAAATAGGTTCTCATAAGACTATAGATGTTTCTTCTTCTCAAACTATGCAGAATAAATTATACTCAACGGATCGTAAAAGTATTTAAGATAGAAGAAAATATAGCACAATTTCAGAATACAGACGAAGACGTTGTACCATTGTCATGTGCAAACATTTAAAAAACATTATAAGTACACCAATACACTTCTTTTCTGTTGATAAAGTAATGGAATTCATCTTTGTTAATAGACTTGACTTAAGACCACTGACTGCAATTATTTTCTTAGAGATGTCTTAGAATCTTCGTTTCCCTTCTAACATTGGAGTATTTCACGCTCTCCATATGATTCTAATGTTTGTATAACAGTAGTTTTAAATCAGAAAACGTCAATCGTATTTATCAAACAGATGTTTTCAATTTCTATTTTGACTATCTCTAGTATTCTAAAATAATGAACTCTTTCGATCAACCATTCTAAATAATGAACAGTACTTTTTCCTTATATTTTTAACAAACTGCACCAACGATAGCTTGTTATTCTTCTCCGATAGTAGATATGATTAATTCTTGGTCGTCTCATATATTTTGAACTACGTTATGTTTCAGATTAGTAGAAAGATGGACGCGTACCTGTTTATGGAAATAAACATTTAATTTTCTATTGTTGGACTGATATATTCAATTTATGTTGAAACATAGCGGTGTTCCAATAACAACTAGAGGACGAGTTAATTTCAATTAGCTACAAATGATTTTATTGAACAATTTCCACCGCACTAATGATCTGAAAACCACAGAGAATTACTCATCTATATTGAATATCTACATTGAATATAACTATGAGTATCAATAGATAAACTCTTACATGTATCTACGATTGTTTAAGTTTAAAAAAACAAATTATTATTCAAAAATAAAATTTAACTACTAAATGTCGACAATAATTACGAGAGATTATCTAGTGACATATGTGAATATATGTGCATCATTAAATTCTCAATTTTGTTGAAAACAAGTTTTAATACTTCAAACACTCAGAATAAAAACATCGTTATAATCGAACGAAAAAATGTGTTAAACCACAAGAATATAAATAACACGAGACGATTATTCATAACTGAATATATCTAAAAAGTTTGTTATAATAACAGAGAAAATAGATAGAAAATTAAACCTATATCACCTTGTTTCTCCAATAATTATTGGAAAATCAATCACTATATTATTTTCTACCATTTTCTATTGTTTTAAAGCATATTGCATAAATTCTTATCGTAAAAGAATACATTGATTTTTTAAAGTGCTTCATACGTAAAAATTTTCTTATAACAATAAATAAAAGATCTTAATAAATCAAGTGGTTAAATGATATAATTTCATGTTATTATAGTAAACGAAAAACTCTATAAATATTGACTAATTTTCAGAGAATTATTTTCTTCACCTTGCTATTATCGATCAATTTCATTTTCTCAAGGTTAAACTTATTTTTGGCACGGCACGATGTGGTTTTCTTCTTATTTATGTTACGTGAAAAATCTTTCTCTCTCTCTCTTTGTGGCAAAACAAAGTTTTTCTTCCAAAAAAAAAAAAAAATGAGGTGTCTTTTAACTAGTTCGTTGAAGTACATGCAGTACAAGAAGAAGAAAAAGATCGAATTTTTATCTTATGAACAAGAAAATTGTCTTGGTTAGACATCATCCCTATTATAAAAAATAATCTTTTCTTTCTCTCTGTCTCTCTCTTTTTTTCAATATATATTTGATATACGTGTATATAGAGGAAAAAAGGCAGTGAAGGTGAATGAATTTAAAAAATCTTTCATTCGTCAACAAGTGGTTAGCAAGAAGAAAAAAAAAAAAAAAAGTAAAAAATGTGCGTTTTTTTTTTTACTTTACTTATTGGATATGAAAAGTAAATATATATTGTTGAATTAGCTCATTCATCTCTTCTTAAAAAGCGCTTTATAAACACCCACAGTCAACCGATATTGATATTAATCTCTTTTCAAAATAAAAGATGCAAAACAAAACGTAAAGAAAAAAAAAAAAGTAAAATATTTTGCTCTAGTAAAAATAAACAATACAATAGGTCTCATTGATCTTGCGGTTAGTTATCAATGGTTAAAAAAACCAAGAAAAATTTTTCTCTTAAAAGCAGCGTTTTTTTTTTCCCAAGATATCATCTATGTTTTTCTTTTTGCAGAATTATGATAAAACCTATCCATTTCTTTAGCGTCAATATTCTTTTTTATTCTTTATAAAAATCTTTTACTTTTTATCGTTGAAAGTATAGATGTCTATCTTCGAAGTTAGAACTGTTATCTTCAAAGAAAAGAAATTTAGACAAAAAAAATGTAATACTATGTTTTAGTAGAATTTAACTTTTTTCTTAATTATATTTTTCATAGTCATTTCTATCAAAAACTGAATAAACGAATTCCTAAACACAATTATAATTGTATTATTTTGAAATATGCAAAACACAAATGTTACAAATGTCTGGTTAATTTGTAATTTGTTATATAATGAATATTTAGTAATAGTTATCACACTTACTTAAATAATAAATAGAAATAAACATCTTCTATTAATCCATATACTTCAAACTGGTAGAATGTACAATTATTAGCGTACGTTTGGTATCGATTTATTCTCGTCCTGTTTTCATAATCATTTAAAAACGTTTCGATCAATAATTTTTTAAACTACTTGGGGGACTCCATTTTTTTTAATCGTCAAAATATTTTTCTTCGCTTTTTTTATTATCAGTTGAATATATAAATGCATAATCGTTGTTGAGTTTTTGCCGGTGGTATTAAGAGACTTTCTATTTTTTGTAATAATAACATAAGAAATGTTTATGCATGAACAGGACGAACAATAATAACACGAAGTTTTTTTTGATTTTTTTTTTTTTTTTTGTTTAATAATAAGCATGGACTTTAAAAACTACAAAATAAAGCTTAGAATAGAAATTGTTTCTTTAAGATATATAATATACATATTTTAGTTAATCTTCTCTTCTCATATCCTCCCACTATCTTTTTTATTCTGAATAATTTTCATTTATTTAACATTAAAGACGATACTCTACTTCAAAATTCTTTTCTTATAAGATTAATCTAAAACCGTTTCCGTGAATCAACCCACAATATGTTTTGTAATATGAACAAACAATTAATTTTGATAGAAGTCAGTTCCATTTGCTACCTGTTAGACGTAGGCTTTTTTTATCACTCTTTTTCCTTGTTTTTTGTTCTTTATACGAACATTAATCATTTTACGAAGAAAAGAAAAGTGACAAGTATCGACATGGTTTCATTTTACAAAAAAACAAAAATTTACAAGAAAATCGCATCTTATTTAAACAACAATGACTAAAATGAAATCTTACCAATTTCACGCTAATTTAAACGGTTTAATATCTTTTTTTTTCTTCTATTAAATGGCACAAAAGTTTTATGTTTCATTCTTTTTGAAAAATATTTATTCATAAAAAAGATCTATTTTTTCACATTGTCGTGTTTCGTGTGTGTCTGTGTGTGTGTGTGTGTGTGTGTGTGTGTTATATATTTTTTTTTTTTGTTAAAAATAAAATAAACCAAAAATAAACAGGTAAGAATAAAATAATCAGTGGGAGATGACGATGACAACGACAATGATATGTGAGTGTTTGAACTATATTTTTTTGCTTTTTAGAATTCAACTTTGCATAAAACAATAATAATAAACAGTAAATGAATTAAAAATAGAAAATAGGATGCGTTTATATAAATTTGATCTGTTTTTTTTATATGAATAAAATATATAAGCATGTTGTTCGCAAATAACTAAATGAGTATTAAATCTTTATTTTAATACTACGCTTTTGTTATTTCAATATTTTTCTCATTAGTGATAATATTGACATAGAAATTGAGATTAAATTTTGAATTCAAAATCCAAATTAGAATTAAACCAATGAGAGAAATAATAAATTATTTATTATCTCTTTTAATTAAACAATATTTAAAGATTTTATGAACTATGAAATGTCTGTGTGTGTCAGTTAGTTTTATCATCAGAATGACAAAAACCATAATACTATTGAAACACAGTAATATCTTTCTTAACATTAAAAAACAAAACAAAAACAACGTTGATATTGTCACTAGTTTTTTTTTTTTACATGTCAATTTTTTTATGTATATTTATTATTAACTTTTTCTTACTTTGTCTTTATTTCTCTATAATATAACACAAAGAGAGAGAGAGAGAAACAAGAAAAAAATATTTTTTAATAAATAAATACCTTTTCTCTGTTTTATTTTGATTGACCTTGAAACAATGAGACAGATATTCTGATGATCAACACATAAAAACAATCTCGTGCAATTATATAAATATCAAAAATATATCGTTTAACAAACATTAAGAATTCTAACTGAGGGACAAAAGAAAAACAAAAAAAAAACGATCATTTTTTTCAGATCTTTTTAAAAATCAACAAGTTCTATCGATTATGACATAGAAAAATAATTGTACAAAATTTATGTAGTTAATAATTGCACACGAGTGTGTTGTTTTTACTTCTATCATTCTTCTAGAAAATATTCTGTTCAATTTTTGAATATTTGGATAACCAATGTTGATTGATCATTATATATTATTGCTTTCTTTTTTTTCTTTTTTTTTTCTCAAAGGTTTTTATGCCTGTTACTACTACTACTCAATTCAATGATGTTTGCTCAAACAACTTGTATAAACATTTTTTTCAAAAAAAAATGACAAGACTATAGGTAGAACATGGTTAGACTCTATAAATTTTATTCATAAATTATGACAGATTTATGTACGTTTTATCGTCTTCTATTGTTTATACAATCAATAGAGATCTACTGTACGTACTTTACAACTATTAAACACAACTTATAAGTGTTACAATGATGACTAGTATATATTTTTTGAAGTAGAGAAGAAGAAAAAAGAGCAGAAGATGAAAGATGTTTTTTTAAACTTTCAAGTAGAGATTTGAAAGAGTATAAAAAACAAAAAGAATTGATATTAGAAAAATAGTACGAAGAGAAATGATGATTATACCACAACTTTTTAGTCAAAACTCGAGAATATACCAAAATGAAAATAAATAATTATTCAGACAATATAATCTTATCAGATTAAACTATAGCGTTTCTCAGCTAACTACGTACAAAAATGAGCGAGAAAATATGTCTTTTATATACAATTACGTACTTATAGATCAATCTGACTGATCTTTATCAGATGGATAAGAAAAAAAGTAGATGGATAAGAAAAAAAGTCAACATGCCAATATAGGTGAATCCTGTCGATTCGTCAAAAGTATAAATCAAAAACTTATATTAAATCAAAATATAATTTAGATGAGATAATAATAACCTTGACCGTTACATAGGTCAACTGAAGCGCACTAAATGAGAAAAAATAATTTAGAATAAAATTTGTTAAAAATAACATTTACTTTCTACTGTTCATTTTGTCTTTTCTACATTGTGTTTATCGTCTATTTCATACTATACAACATAAAAAGAACTCAAAAGTTATATAATATCAAAAGTAAAGGAAAAAGGAAAAGTAAACAATTGATTTTATTATCAATAATCAATTGAACATTTTTTTTGTTCATTACATAAGCATGATCGAAAATTTTGATTTGACCAGAAAAAGACTAATGTGACGAATAAATAACGCTTTAATATAGTAACAGAGAAACGTGGAAAAATTAAACAAAAGTTACAATCAATACTTGTTTATATTGAACAAATATGAACATTTTCCTACTACTACAGATAAAGAAACTCCGTCAATAGGCGAAGTGCAAAGGTGAAGTATTGGCAAAAGTCTAGACTGAAAAATCAAGCTTCCTAATAGCTAAAGACGATTTCGGATTCCAGTATCAATGTAATACAACAGTAAAAGACTATGTTTTTTTTAAATAATTTAATATATTTTTCAATTATTCGAACAAGAGTAAACAATTGATTTTTACAAAAAATTTTGAAAAGTCAATATTTTTGCTATTATATCTTTAAATTCACCACATTTCTTTATAGATCATAACAAATGATGTCACTATATCATCACTGAAACAAAACAAAAAATCAGTTAGATATAGAAGTTAGTCAAACTTTACTGATATTAGACTCTCTAATTGACTTCCTTTCGCACTTGGCATTGGATTCTCAAGGAGCCTCAGGACTGATACTCGGTGTTTTGGAATAATCTCGAAAGTGCAAGAGATCGTATAATCACGTTTAGTGGACAAAATAACCGTATCCTGAAGTTTTCAACTCGTTTCTGTACTTTTTGAGTGAATTATGAATTTTTTAACTGTAGGTATAAAAAGCCTGAAAATCTCAAGTTTCGTAAAACGCGACTTTTGTTAAGCTTTTGATCTTTTTTGAAAGTGTACTAGGAGTTCGGCACATACCATGGATCAATCGCCGATTGACTAAGACTTCCACGTGTAAATAAACGCAAGTAGGCTTCTCTATGATATCATTCATCCAATCTTAATGAAAAAGAAAACAAATATTACCAAAGATCGTAAAACATGATGATCAAATATTTAAAAAAACCTGCTGGTGAGTAAGAAAAGAAAAGAACTAACGATAAGTTCTATATCGGTTCCTTTGGCCTCATCTGAAGCTAACTGTAAGTGATATGCCTTTTTTTGGGAGAAGTAATAACAGGTCTTATATCTTGTAACGGAAACTCTGAAAAATAAAATTAATAAAATTTTTTAGCATACAAGTCGCTATTCTCTGGCGTTAAGCATGAACAAACCGTCTGGCGCTTTAGCTTCTTTGTCAACTCAATGTCGACTAAAAAAAAGACAAAAATTAAACAACAATGTTGTCTGTGCATCTGGAAATGTGTATGTATATTTCATAAAGAATCTGCAGTTCAATCTGTAAACACACTGAAAAACTCAGCATTCAAGCAATTAAACTTTTAAAGTAAATAATAATGCTATACATTTTATTACGATAAATTAGTACACAGTAAATAAAAATAATGGTCTGAAGTTGTATGAAAGCAAATAATGCCGTTTTAGAGCATCATTTATACTGTTTTCAATCTTGTATCATGTTGTGTTTCATCTTTGATCATTATTTTGCAGGCATTCTCTATAAAAAAAATCTATCTAACATCTATTCTGTGAAACTACCATAAAACTATAAAATTCTAACATATTTAGGATCTATCCTGCCAGTAATGGAAATACTTTTTTGATTGAATAGTCCTTGTACTCTGTTTCTAAAACACATGTAGGAGTTAACTTACACTAGTCATAAATTATAAAAAATCCGGTATATTTAAGAATCTAGCTCAGCACTGCTTTCACATAAATAATTGCAATACAGTCTGAATAAATAAAAAACCTGCGCGAATTCTTCAGAAAGTTTTAGCTAATTAACTAGATGCGTTTTTCAACTTAATATAAGTGACGAATGAGTGCTAGTTGAATAATAAAAGCAACTATGAATGACGACAACTAATACCACCACTCAGAGAGAAGATTAGAACAATCACATATTAAGATAAGAAACTCAGAAAATCCAAAACAACCATCTAAAAAAACTCGACGGCGCTCTGTTTAGGTATTTTCTGCTTTCATGCTTAAATTCAATGATCTTGAGTCTCATCATAGTGGTGACAAAATATGCAATTAATTAATCAATACAAAAAATCACTCAGAATTCATCATTTTTTCAAAACAACGGGAAAAATGAACCATACAGCACCCACTTCATTTTGGAACATATAATACGAGAGCATGTTCAATCATGTAAGATATATATATTACTTTTAGCATTTAGTTCAAAACAGTTTGGCACAATAGAAAACGCAAAAAGAATAAAAAACAAAGATAATATATACACGTGCAAGTATAAAAAAAACGACGAACTGGGAAAGTAAACAAACTGGTATGTTGTAGCATGAGGAAAATAGAATCTATACATTTTTTCTAAATTTCTCTAAAAACTATGTTCCGGTTTCATCAATTAATGTGTTCGGTTACTCTATGTTTAATTTAAAAAAATATTCACCGACTATATTTGGATAATAAATGAGACGTTAGAGAATGAAGAATGTGGTGATAGAGGCAATCACAAAAATTGATTTTGTGACAAAATTCACCGGATATATTAACGAGCGAGCAAGAAAGATAGTAAAATAAAGAGATAAACAGTGACAATTAAAAACAGACAACAACAATCGTAGAATACACACAAACAACAATAAAGTGTACATAGATGAAATCGATACATTTGTTAAACATAAACTAAGTAAAGCAACAAATGTAAACATTTATAAATTTTATACTTAAAGTTTTAAAAAAAGACTTACAAGTAACGCACAAACAACATCATAGAAAGAAAAAAAAAGATGTGCTGTGGATTTTGTTTGTCTTCAGAGCCGTTGTGCAATCACGGAACCATTCATATGTGCTAATTGCTTTTCATCCCTCATCGACTAAAACAAAAATACAAAACAAATTTTTAACACAAAAATTTATCTTAAAGAAAGACAAGAATAGACCAGTTAATATTTGCCTGATTTTATTAGTAATTTATAGTCAGTAATTTTATAAAATAATGCAACTTTACCTTCGTCGCTTTTGGTTTTTCCCATACGGCAATAATTCCGTCTTGAGATGCTGTTATAAAACAGTTTTCACGAAATATAATTGATGTAACACGTTCGGTCGATATTGATTCAATTACAGCTGGCTCAATCAATTGAATATCGCCTAACTTTGGGCATAGATGGGTGCCAAACGTATTTTTTGTTAAGTCAGCATTTGTACGTCGAGGTAAACTATTATTATTCAGGTTAGTTTGTACATTTACATTTGCTGTAGTTGGACTCCCATCTGTCGTTGTATTTACTGCTGTTGCCTTATTTTTTTGACTATTATTTGGCACTGACGGTATTTTACGCAGTTTTTTCGTAGTGGTCGTTGATGGCTGACTTCCATTTGAACATGTATGATCAGTTATGGTCTCTGTTTTATTTACTTTTGAATTTCTCGTAAACGACAAACGATTTGTTAGCGAAGAAAATGATGTTTTGGAAGTTGTTTGTGTGGGATTCATGGATGTGTCAGATTGAGATGAATGACCATTTGTTGTCGATTGACATGATGAATTAGACAACGATGACATTAGCACTGGTGGATATAATGATGAACGTTGTCGTTGATGGGAAAGTTTATTGTTCACTTTTAAGATATCTTCCGTGATGTCCCACATGCATAAACGATTATCTTGTCCAACAGAGACAACACGATAGAATATAGACGGCATACCATTTTCGAAACATTTATCTGAAGACCAAGGTGGCGGATCATGGGACTCAGCAGATGATGCTGATGAGGAATTTGAAATAGTCGATTCACATACGTTTGCCCGTCGTTCAGAAGATGGAAGCGAGGAATGATGCAAAGAATAATAAATTTTAGCACTCATGGACGGATCAAATGAGATACTATTTATCCACGATGTATGGCCATGACCACGGCATACTACTCGATGTTGTTGATCATTATCTAATGAGAATATTGTTAGAAAATCATCTTCACCACCAGTAGCCACGTATCTTCCATCAGGACTCCAAGAAAGCTGAAATGAAAATAAGAGAAGAGGCTATAAACACAGGACTTTGGTGATGTTATCCAACGTTATGAAGCCAGAAGGATTTCTTCAAATCTAGTTACTAAAGAAGGAAACTGGAGAATATAGATACTGAAAGTCTAAAAAGATTGGATTTTCCCTCACACAAATCAATGCAAAATAACAAATCTTTTTCTAATACGAACACAAAGAAGTCCTCCAAAATAACTTTTCATATACGTTACTAATTCCATTTTTTCATAATTGAATATCCTTAGAAATCCATCTTGTGATACGACAGCTAAATATATATTATCTGGCGAAAATGAAAATTCATTGATACTTCCAGTTCCAATTGACCAACGTGACACAGGATTTCGTGCTTGTTTTGATTTTGTGCAAGAAATAGAAAAATTATTTTCATCGTCTTTTATTGTTGAGTAGACAGGAGGAATATTATTATCACGTTGATAAACAATTTGTTCATCGAATACATATAAATAACCGCTCGAATAAGATGCAACAAACAGCGATGTTTTTGATGACGGTAGCCACTTGATACATGTTACTTTTGTTTTGTCCAAATAACTCTAAAATTATAATCAGAATTAAAATAATGATTTGTCTGAAGTGAGCTTGAACACTCAATTTGAAATATGTGCTGTACTCTATTTTGTACTCATCTAACATCACGCAGAAGATGGAAAGCTTTTCAGAGGACAGTGAAACTAATACTAACGGAAAAATAGGAAACTAAAGAAAGTCAGTTAACTGTTCGATTCCTAATCCTATGAGGAAAAATACTCTTATTTTAGTTTATTAATGTAATGTACAACTGAGAACATACCGATTCATTAAAAACTTTTTGATCTTTTGTATGAGTATTGATATATTGTATTTGTCCTTTTGAAAATCCCACTAAAATATGTAGTCCATTTGTGTGTTGCCGTTGTGTGAGATCGTGACAAGTTGGTAAATGACCTGGTTTGTACGCTCGATGATCAATAGGTTCACCAAAATTTGGCTTGAAAAAGAAACACAATTAAACAATAAACAAGGTTAAAACAAATCAGGTTATACACACTTGTGCTGATTCAGCAAATTCATAAATGAGCAATTCTCTTCCAACGTTGAATGCTAAAACTTCTGTTAATAAAACAGTTCCATTGACACTACCGTTTTGTACTGAACAGCTGTTTGTTTCGTTTGATTCTACATTAATAGAGTTACTTTTTGTTAAAAAATCACCGGATCCATCCACACTACAATTCGGTGGTTCATCAGTGGCTATTGACGATGATCGCCTAGAACTTGCTTCACTTGCTGAATTACTCTGACTCGTACTATTATTAACTATCTGTTGTGTTCGTTGTAGTACGGTTATTTTCACCGGTTCACTAAGACTATTTGCGTAAGTTGAGCAATGTTTTCCAAGATAATCAATAAATGATGCAATTTTATATCGTCCTTCACGTGCCGAGAATTCACTTTTAACTTCGTCTCGTCGATCTTTGCACCGTAAAACACTTGAATCACAAGCAATCGCCATTCTGGACACATTGTTTCATACTTTTGTAAAAAATTAGTTCATTTACAGAATTTGTCTACATCAAAATCTAATTATTATTGCCTGAAGAATTAAATAAGGTATTATCTGCAGTGTTTAGTAGAGTACTAAAAGAAATTGAAGCATATCTTGGTTAGAAAACGATCCATTATTATTCTCCATAGTTTTCTATTTCATTTGATTAATTTAAACAATGACGACTCATTATTAAAAATCAGCGTAATCGATCTATGCACGTAATGTGTTAATTTCGGGGAGAAGGACAAATATACCTTTTCTATTTGCTTGATTTGCACCAATAGAAAAACATGTCAGATATCTTGTTTTCTTTGTTAACTATAATTTAACTTGAATTTATGTATATTGTACCATAGCATATGCTTAGCCGATTCTTATTCAACTTCGGTGAATAATGTTCATTTTTCGTTGTTTTTTCTGTAAGTACCAATTCTAGAATTCGTTATATTTTGTGTAGCCTAAATGATCACCAATAACTTTCTAATATAAAAAACTTGCTTCAATATTCTAGTTTTCTCTCGATTGATTACTACGATCAATGCTGAAACATTACCAAGATTTGACATGCGAGATAAGGATGGAATTATTTTTGGTAAGCTGATTCAATTCAAACGTATTAAAAACTCTTAGTATTTACATATTCTAGATCCAATTGCACCTCGAGCCGGCGAAAGATTAACTGCAACATGTACAGTCGTAGGACTAACACCAACAGATAAACGAAGTGTAAACTGACGAATTTTTGAACTCTAATGAGAGTATTTCATTTCACTTTTTTTTATAATAGGTATCATGGAAATTAGACCGTATGAATGATGGAAAAAATTTTACAATAGCAATGGATAACGCTGTATTTCAATTCAATCAGCCGGTTCCTCGTTTATATGCATCACATCAAATCGATACATCAGATTGGTATCTTACATTTACTCCGCTGGATCGAGATGATATTGGAAATTTGACATGTAAAGTTTTATGTCTAGTGTTTTTGCACGTTGATAGTAGTGTATCATTATTTCTGATAAGAGAGTGTACCCATTCGAAACAGGATGTACAGTGCCCTCTGAAAATTCATATACTCTCTGTTTTTAACCGAGAAAATATGAGACATCCAGTGATAAACTGTGGATGTACGCTATGCTCAAAATTCCCATTAGAAATACTGTATTAGATTTCAATGTCTCTCATTTTTATAGGTGCATTGGCCGATACCAACAACAGAGAAATATTTTTAACACGATTTCTAAACGTGAATAGTATGTAGCCGAATCTTTTATTAACTGGTTGAAAATGACACTTGTGTCTCTTTTTAGGTGAACCAGTTGTATTAGAATCATCAACCAAAGATACTGAAGTAATGGAAGGTCAGACAGTCGTATTAACATGTAATGCACAAGGTTATCCGACACCTAAAATTGAATGGCAAAGAGCAGATGGAAAACCATTGTCATCCGGAGAGATTCGACAAGTTGTAAGTGAAATTCAATTCATTTACGTTTAAATTTTCTTTAATCTTTCACTTCAGGGTACACAGCTTCAGTTAAATCATGTGACACGAGCTGATGGAGGTATTTACAAATGTTTAGGTAAAAGCAAATAGCGAGATTATATTCTTATCTTCTTCATCTTATATCTTTACCTTTTCTTTCTAGCTAATAATCTTGTTGGTTTTGGTGCTGAATGGACATTAAAATTATCTGTCAGATGTATGAATTTGGTTTTATTTCTAAGATTTTTTAAATACTATGAATTAATCTTTTTTTTTGTTTTGTTCTAGTCAAACCGTATATTTATTGTCAAAAAGATGTTGGTCAGGCAGCTCAATTTCAAGTTGATGCCTATGTTGAATGCTATGTTTATGGTTATCCAGCACCTCGGATAAGGTAACTATCCTATTGACGTACGGTAATCGTAGATTAGACATTGTTTATACTTGCAACTGACTCTAGTCTGTACAATAGCTTGGAAATATTCTACTCGAATATATTTAAAGTAATATCAAAAGATATAAACAAAAATATATTTTCTTATTTGCATAGGACATATCAATATTCAATTTAAACGACAAAATACTGAAATGGTAGATTTTATCTTAGCTGTGGCACATATTCACTACTCTAATATCTGTGAATGGCTTATTTTGTTGCATTGTATTTTTGATTTGCTTATTGATTGTAACGCTTTTTTTGCCTGCTTGAAAACAAACATGCTGTTATTCTCTATTTTAACCAAGAATATTATGCATCTTTTTCTTTTAATAGTTGGATCAAATCCAATTCTGCTGGCTCAACAATAAATGGAACAAATGTTAATTATGAAGGTGTAATTTGGAATTCAAATAAATATCGTATTGAAGCAATAATACCAGAAATGTCATTGTGTACAGATTGTATACTGTCTCGTTTGACTATTAGTAAGCATAATTTGCCTATTTATTATCTCTACTTACCGGTATTCATACAATATTTGTATGTTTTAGTCAATGTTGAAGCGGGTGATTATGGTTTATATTTCATTAATGCTACTACAAGTGGATTTAAAACAGAGCTTGGCCAAGTTGAATTATATGGTGAGTTATATGTCTAATGAATTAAACTAATTTGGTTAATTGTGTAAATCAATATATTTTTTATTTAGAAACAACGGAGTGTCAACAATTTATCACTCATCTTGGAAATAGTGGTTGTAAACGTTCAAAGGCGAGAAATGATGCAAATAAACAAAATGTTTATGCTCGAAAATCCATGGTATTCTCAACTTTATTTTTATTTTTGGTTTCCTTTAATTTTCCATTTTAAAAATTTGTGTATTACTCGTTAATCAATGTTTATAGATGTTAATAAATGTTTATTCGCTGTTTTTAATCTTTTTTTATAATTTTTGTTTTGATTAATTTTTTTTAGACATTGTTTATATTTGTTTTGAGACATGTCCAATTCTTGCACATTCCATTTTTTTTCAATATAGAATTTGTATCAAAGATTATCCTTACATTCCAATAATTGTTCTACAGCTTTATTGTATTGTGTGTAGCATAATAAATTAATAATTGTTATAAGAGACACGCCAATGAACACACAGTCTTGAAAATAGTTGAAATTTGCGTAGACCGTGGTGTTTATTAAAGCTCTCTCTTGTTCGTACATAAGAACTATGTTGTTGCACATTAGAATATAGTTTTCATTTTTAACAGCTCGTTTGAAGAAAGCAGATCTTTAAAAATAGAATAATAGAAGAAGAAAATATGTTTATCCACATTTAAATCTTGTGTGAGAAAGAGGAAGGAGAAAATAAAGTAAAACAAGTCAGAAAACCATCGACAATATTGACCTAATAACGATATGAGCAAGCAATAAAAACAATAAATAAACAAGAGCCTTTTGAAACTCTTGTTGGACAAATAAAAGTATTCGAAAATCGAATTTAAAACAAACATAACAAAAACAAATAAAAATTAAAGAAAAAATAAGAAAACATAAAAATCAGATGTATTTATACAGCAACATGTTTCACATACAACAAAAAGTACATAACAGAACAAAACAGACAATCGAAATAAGCCCGAAAAAAATATATAAAAAAATAAGCTCAACAGCACGTTTCCTTTGTCTTTCTAAACTTGAGGAAAATCATCGATTGTAGGCAACAATTTTAAGTTCGAATTACTTGTGAAAGAGAGATTATACACAATTACAAAATAAACTAAAGATGATTATAAGAAAAACGAAGTATTGCGTATTTGAGTGATTGTTGTTTAATTTGTTAAACCATCCATGGTGGTAAAATTTGTTGATGTCTTGATTTGTTATGACTATGGCGTCGATGTATAATCCTCTCTGCGAATTTCCGTATTTCGTTGACAAGGAAAACAGATGATGTAAGACAAGTAAGGTATAATAAATCTAAACAAAAATAAAAATAAAAATTACAGCGTCCAATTACTAGCAATAGTGAAAGTATATAAAGCAGGTAATTCCTATTATGAGTCACACTATAACCAAATTATTACTTGCTCGGTTGAAAAAAAGCCGATTGGTTTGAGAAAAAAATAAAAAAATCACCGACAAAATATAGATATCAATGTTTGAGATAAAAAACCCCGATCAAATGAAAATGAGAATTATGATCTATCTCAAATAAGACGACAATAAAGAAACAAAAGCCAATGTTTGAAATAAATTTTGTATAATTTTCTTTTCTTAAGACAAACCTTTCAAATACTTTTTGTAATTCAAAGGCGCAGAAAACTGCCGGACAATAGGCGAAACAGAAGAATAAGTCTAAACAGGGATAAAATTAAAATACAAAAATAAATTGATATTACTTAAACTAAATAATTCAAAGCCGTCAGATATAAACAGTTGGAACGTTTTTGAATTTTTTAAAAAGATGCGACTCGATAAAACTAAGTAAACGATCGAAACTTAATCCTAAGAACAATTATATTTCTAAATTGTAGATACACAAAGTCAAATATACCCTTGGCACTGAGAGCTTCCGTCTGAAATACGTATTGTAATGGTGGTAAATAAATAACACAGAGTTGTCCAATAATGGATAAAAGAACAGCAACAACAAAAAATCTATTAGAAAATATGCCAATTTCGAAAATCAACTTTGTCTAAAAGAGAAAAAAGAGATGAACATAGTTAGAAATTTATTAATTTAGAATATTTTACTGAATAAATTTGTTTTTATAACCGCTTATGACGCCCTTAATACGCGTGCAGCTCTCGCAGAGGCGCACTCAGGATTTTATAGAGGAATGGACAAAAACATTTTTTCATCATACTACTTTCTAAATTTATTTCTAAAACTATAGGAGTTTCCTTCCTTTTTTTTAAAATTTTATCATAATAGTAAGTGAAATCTTTATCATACGTAGTACATACACATCGACTGTTATCTTTGGTATCTATAAAGTGTAAAATTCTGCATTTGTTTATAACTGTCTTAGTTTTAAGCATCCATCTCTACGAAATAAACAAACATTTCTATGTATGCCCTTTTCATCACACACAAATATGTATGCTTCGAAGTCAGTAGTATCGCTAGTAGTTTGAAAATGACTATTTTAAAACTGGTTAAAATATCGTATAAAATCCACTGTATAAGCCATTAAATATAGACGAAAATCGTTGTCCTTAAACTCTACTAATTTTTCTTCGATTTCAATCAAAAATAGTCTTTTTTAGTATGATTGTGAAATTGAAATTTTAAGGAGATACCATCTGTAATAAAAGAGCGGTGTTAAAATAAATTTATTCAGTGCAAAGTCGAGTTTAAATATCGAAATGTTTTAGTTTCAACTTACTTGAGAACGGCAACTCAATGCATTGAACATGTCGAAGAAAACAAAACAAGTAAATGTCATTGTTGTATCCCGTGGTGTCACTTTACCATCTCTCATCTAAACATAAGCATATGTACAATGTTTCTTAAGGTTTTACAAACGTTGTGCACGAACATTGTTATGGACGGAAAAACTTGCGCATGGAAGTTTTACGAATGAGAAATGCCATGCACAGAAATCTGACGCATCAGAGTGTTATGCACAGATTTTTGCAGGCAAAGAAATGACAATTTCAGTAGCAGAAATTTTCGAGAATAAATTGACGACAGTATTGAAATCACATTCAAATACGAAGTAAAAATAATCGCTATTAAAGAACAAAAGAAATATTATGAGCTAAATTATTAATTTGATCAATTATATTTGTATGTGGATTTAAAACTAAATTTAATAATCATTATCAGCCAAGCAACGCAAAAGACGAAGAAATATCACCATTTAGACAAACGATTATTAAATTTAGTTTTAAATCCACATACAAATATAATTGATCAAATTAATAATTTAGCTCATAATATTTCTTTTGTTCTTTAATAGCGATTATTTTTACTTCGTATTTGAATGTGATTTCAATACTGTCGTCAATTTATGGATGCGCATCATTCTAGAACTCTTTGCTACGATTAGTTGTTTAAATACAATAGATTATTACCTCAGCATAGAATACGCATAGTGTTCCAATAACGATAACAGATGCACTTGTTACCATATTCAAAATTAAACGTCGATCAATCATGGAATCTGTTACTCTTCTCGGAGGTTTTTTCAATACCTAAAAAATGCAAATATTGAGAATATCAAGATAAGAGCACGTCAACACTTACATCATGATCAACAGGTTCGACTCCAAGACTAAAAAAAATGATATAACGGAATATTAAAACGTGATGTTATCAAGATCGTTCTTTTATATTAACCTTTGTGCAGGTGGTCCATCCATAATAATATTAATCCATAATATCTGCATCGCATTCAGTGGATTTGGGAAATGAAATACTGTTGAAAGTGTAATTAAACTCAATGCTGCAATGCTCCTGAAAAAATGAAAGACAGAGTATAATTTTACTAAAATGTTCAAAACTAAATACATACGTGCTCAGTTGAAATCGGACAAAATTACGAATATTATGAAATATTGCTTTTCCTTCTTCAATTGCCGCCCTATAATTCATTAAACATAAGTGTTGGGCAACAGACACTGGAATTAACTAACTAAGAAACTTACATAATTGTATAAAAATCATCTTTGACAAGTATCATATCGGCAGCTTCTTTACAAACATCAGTTCCCGTTTGTCCCATGGCTATGCCAATATCAGCTGCTTTTAATGCCACAGCATCGTTCACTCCATCACCAGTCATTCCTACGATATGTCCTTGGCTTTGTAATAACTACAAAAATGATATTTTAGCTAAACTGCTGTACTCTTTAATTACGCGTACTTTGACAATTTTCAATTTATGTTTCGGACTGACTCGATAGAATACGCTTGCTTTTGATACGGCATTCTCTAAATCTTGTACATTCATACGATCTAAATCTTCACCCGATATTGATAAATCGCCTGTACGATAAATGTGTAACCGAGTGGCTATATGAGAAAAAGGACACGACAATTAATATTTTGTTTTTTAGAAAAAGAGAAAAAAATTATACCAATTGCTTTTGCTGTCTTCTCAGCATCACCCGTAATCATTTTAACAGCCACACCGCCATGCTGTAATTGGGCAACAGCTTTTTGAACTAATGGCCGCTCTGGATCAATTATTCCCACCATACCAACGTAGACCATATCTTCGAACGATGTACCAGATGCCATTGCAAGGACTGAACAAACAAATGTTGTACATTATCATCTTTTTAGTATAATAAGGATAAATTACCTCTTAGACCCTTTGCACAAAACTGATTTGAATCGATAAGAAATTCTTTAATTTTATCATCGGTCAATGAGGTAGGTGTACCGTGAAATGAATAACGTTTACATTGATTTAATACATTTTCAATAGCACCTTTGAGAAAGTATCGCACATCTGTCTAAAATAAAGCAAGTAACAATGTGAACACATCTACTAATAAATAATAAAATTTTATTGTGTGTTAAAGTACAAAAAATAAATGGTATAGTGTGAGTGTTTGAGAAAAATTGTCAGAAAAACTAAGAAAGACGATGAATGACTTTCTTCCCCAAAAAATTATCGACAAATATTGTGATCTTTTGAAATGAATTTTTGTTCAGCAACCAATTGATAAAACGATGACAAAACCGCCTTCTAGTTCAGTGCATACTGTCTCGTAGTCTGTCATTCATGCTCTGTCAAGAACTGTTATAAAGCACAAAATTCGTTGATTACAGATTTTCTTGCTCAGAAATAACGGGTGCGGCATAAAAGTAAAGAATGACCCTCTTAGTATTTTCTATTTTTGTCGTGTTTCTTTAGGACCCCAGGTTAGCGCTTTTTTTTAAAAAATGTGCCGCAAAATACTCTACAAAACCATACTTAAACTTTATTTTTAGAACTTCAATCAAGGAAACTATGCAAATGATACGAAAGACGAAAAAAATGAAAACTTTCGAAATTTGGTATTTTTCTCGACTTGAACTTTTTTCTTCTGCTATTATTTCTGTAAAAAAGTGCAGCAAAAGTCAGAATGCAGATCTTTTTATACTTTTGAATGTGCTCTTTCTCGCAGCCTGGAAAATTTTCTTTTTAGAGCAGATTATGTGCTGGGAAACGAAGTTACAAAAATACGTCAAAAATTGCGTTTCCAATAATGTGCCCAAGCAAGAAATGGAAAAAATGCGTGACAACCGAAAGAAAAATTATTATTTTTCCATGGGTTTTGATGTGAAAAAATTTGAGGTGTAGCTAAAAGATAGAGCGAAGCCAGGGTTACATAATGGCTGATTCAGATTTCTTACTTTCAAAACGTTAACACAAGAAATCGTTTTTGACTTTAGAAAGTTTTCATTTTTTTCGTCTTTCGTATAATTTGCATAGTTTTCGTGGTTAAAGTTTAAGTATGATTTTGTAGAATATTTCGCGGCGCATCTTTTTAAAGAAAAACATTAACCTAAGAGCCCTAAACAAACAGGAGAAAAATAGAAAATACTAAGAGAGTCATTCTTTATGCCGCGCACCCGTTAAACTCACAAGAGACGTGTTCTAAGCAATTAACGATAATAATATGGCAGAGATACATATATGTAAGAAATGAAAGAAGCACAGATAACAATGCTCACAAGTTACTTTCAGTATTTTTCTTAACTTTATGTTTTTGAGAGACTAACCATACTGTGAGTAAAGTAACTAAGTAACTGTATTCTGATTACAACACAGATAGACATTATAGAAAAAATGGAGTATGTTACACTCACTGATGAAAAACTATCAAGCTAGAAATAAATATAGAAATAGAAAAATGAGAAATTCTTTTTTTACTTTTTAACATGTTTAAAAACTTACTGGATTAAACTTCGATATACATTTAACTGCCATCCATTTTTGGTCAGATGAAAATGGTAATTCATGTTCACGACTAAAACGTTCTCTGAGATGAGCATGATTCATCTAAAGAATGAAATTGATAATCATTATGTGATTTGTTTTTGTTTTTATTGAAACACTTTTGTACTTTACCTTCATGGCAACTGCCAATAAAGCACCTTCACTTGGTTGTCCACGTAATTGTGAATTAATTATTTCTGAATTATTGCATACAGCACCGACCTAATTAATAAAAAAAATAATCTTTGATATCCATTTAATAAAGTAATATTAACGAACCTCCACCACTTTTGATATTGATGGATGTGATTCATAGCGGACACGTTCGTTCTCGCACACTACATCTCCTTCACCGTTATAACCAGTACCACTGACCTATGTGAAAAAACAAAAATGATTTGTCTTATATAATATACGACAGATTATTTTACTTCAGCAATTTGTCCATCGGATGTCATTATATGTGTCACTGTCATCTCATTTTTTGTTAATGTACCAGTTTTATCTGAACAGATTATTGTCACACATCCTAAATTGAGAATAGAAATAAATAAGAATTATTCTTATGTTAATGCAATATACTCGTAAACATTTCAAAGACATTATCGAAGATATTACGAACTTGACGCTTTCTTTCATCAGTGTTTTTATTACTAGTGTGATTATAGATCAAGAAAATAGACAAAATATAGGTATGTATGTTGTAGTTTTCATTGTACTATGTATACTATTTATTCTATTATGTCTTCAATTTTAGATTGTGTGTAGTGGCCTTGAAAGCAATAGACGTTGCTTGTAACAAATATATAAAATAGTAGAGATAAATCACAAGAGACTTATCGACAAGGAACTGGATAACTAAAGATGCGAGAAAGATTTATAGATAAAGATTTTAGATTTATTCACGTTTGTCAGAAGTGATTGTACCAATGGAAATGTTGAAAGAAAAGATCAAACAAGTTATTCATACTCCTTCGATAGGGACATTAATCTGTAAAATCTTTTTTATGTTTCAATTATGAACACTTAGTTTTCAATAAATTACCTAAAGTCTCAACAATCGGTAATTTTTTAACTATTGCCTCTCGTTTGGCCATTCTTTGAACACCTAATGCCAATGTAACTGTGACAACAATTGGAAGTCCTTCAGGAATTGCAGCAACCGCAAGACTAAATAAAAAAAATGTATTTTCATAAATTTGCTTGAATATTTGACAAACAACGAACCTAACACCAATTGTAAACATTTCAAGTAAATGTCTTCCTTGCAACCATCCAACGATAACAATAAATCCAATAATACTCAATGAATAAAATGATAGCTGTTTACCGAGTGCATCCATACTTTTCTGTAACGGTGTTTTAGGTGGCTAAACAGTGAGAACATAACAAAATTTAAGTTACTTAAACATTAAAAGTTTAATTAAAGTATTTACCTCTTGTTGTTGCATCATTTTAAATACTTCTCCAAATTCTGAATTTTCACCTGTACAAATGACTATGCCTTTCGCATGTCCACTTTGTACGTGTGTGCCCATAAAGGCTATATTCTTTCTATCACTAATTCCTGTCAAACGATTACCAGGTGTAATTGGATCAATGAATTTCATGGACGGTTTTGTTTCTCCAGTAAAACTTGATTCATCCACAGCAAAATCAACAGATTCAGTGAGACGTAAATCAGCTAAAAACATGGAAAATTTTCTCAATTTTATTCAATTCAAATAATAATAATATACAAACCTGGAACACGATCACCAATATCTAATATACAAATATCACCCGGCACTAATTCTCTTCCGTAAATCTGATATGTTTTTCCTTCTCGAATACAAATACATTTCGGTGGTACCAGTTTTTTGAGTGCTTCAATTTCTTTTTCTGAACGATATTCTTGAATAAATGCAACTGTCACAACGATAGTAATTGCAACTGTTATTGAAATGGCATCATCATACTGTCTCAAAATAATACTAATCAAAGCAGATGCTAATAATAACAATATCATGGGTTCTTTAAATTGATCTAAATATTTTTTCCATAATGGTTCTTCATTTTCTACTTCAAAATCATTATAACCATATAATTTTCGTCTATTAGCAACTTCTTGTTCGGTTAAACCATATTTAACATCTGATTGTAGAATTTTTATTATTTCATTTGATGTGACACGACTAGCAGCATCCGAATTTAAAAATGTCATCATTGTTTTTAATGATGGTGATATCTCTTTGTTAGTCTCGTCGTCTGTTGTGTTACTTGCAAATAGTCTCGTTGACGTTGATAATTGTATAATTTCTGACAGTTCCACTTGATTATCTTGTCCAGTACTCCTTGAAAAAAAGATGAGATTTTAGAAGAAATTTCGCTATATTCATTCTTCCAATAAGTAAATAAACGTAGAATTAGATATCTATTTCAGTATATATCAGAAAAAATGCAAAAATACTCAATAAATACCTTTAGAAAATTTTGTTTTTCAAAAATTTACTAAAGTACACATTTTACAGATATCATTAATACTAGATTGTTTCGATATTTATAAGATGGACAACAGACACTATACCAAACATAGAATTACATTCGTAGATCTTTTCTTTTATTTATTAATAAAATAAAAGATACGTATGCATGCAACTAAATCTGAAATAAGAAACTTCAGAAAACATTAGCGGTGACTAAAACTCGTCGAGTACACGATTTACTGTCCGTTGATTAATTTCTATTTTAATTGATTTTTCTTCATAGAAAAGTATAATTTTTGCTACACAGGATTTACTTTCCGTTGATTATTTGGACGAAAAGCAATGAATGAGCAAATAAATATTCATTGCGACGACCAATGTATTATTAGAAAAAAATTATTATGGTTTTACATTTGAGAGAATATCGATAACCGAGATAACATAGTTGTATTTTGCCATGTTAGATTCAACAAATTCAGTAGACATTATTAAAACCAGTGTGAGAAGAGAGTTGTGTATCTCTACCTTTATATACATATTTTTACAAAGATTATCATGCTGACAACTACTCTAGTTTCCAAATAAGTAAATACGTTAAAAATCGTGATTACTGCTCTACTTTCTCAGCATTTCTCATTACTCATCTAGAGTTATTGAACATTGCTCGTTCCCAATTAAAAATTTTGTTTATCGTTTCCTTCTTGAAAAATGTTTGTTCCGCTTGGAAATTTATTTGTTGACGTAGTGAATATTCATTTGTTCATTCATTGCTTTTCGTCCAAATATTCAGTGGAAAGTAAATCCCTATACAAGAAAGTGGCTAATTGGAATATATTTTTAGGTAATCAACGGACAGTAAATACGCGGATAGTAAATCATGTAAACCAAAACTCATATAACAGACATAGAGATAAGATCATTAGTTGTGTTGCAAAGTCATTTAAAGACGTTCACATTTCCAGAAAAATGATCCATTATTTCTGGATTAGATAGAGAAATTAAATATCCACAAAATATAAAATTCTCATTATGTGTGTTTTGAACTCAATATCAACATGTTAATGAGTGGGAGGATAAATGATGCTATAATATGCTTCCTACTTTTATTTTTCTTTAACGGCAACAGCCGTGCCGTCTGACTATCATAAAATTAGACTTTACTTCATCATATCTTTGCTATTACAACAATACTTTATGCTTAACCCTAGTGTAGTACTCTAAAACTTCACACAAATCTAATTTTACTTTCAAGTAAACTCATTGAAAAAGAGCATAACAACGAAAAAAACAATTAACAGTCTTTGATCTATCAATATTTTAAAAAACTAACGAATGTGTTATATACAATGAATGGTTTACATTTAGAATAAATATATTCACACATCACAAAATTATTAGCTTAATCTAAACGGTGATGTGTTAATTAGAAGAAGCAAATAAATAATATTAAATGTCACATACATTTTATTATCATTTTTACTATTCATATTTGCCATATCGCTATAATTGAAGTTTTATTTGTTATTTCTTCGTTTATCAGAATTGAAAAATCTTTTGAATACTATCATTGTTCAATATCTATCGATATATATATACACATTGATAATCTATAAATTTACTAATAAATAACTAATTAATTAAATAAATCGATTCTTCTTTTTTTTTTCTTCTATTATTTATTACTGTCGAATAAACTTGTAATATGTGATAAACGAAATGATCGTTATTTTCATTCGAATCGATTAATGATTTTAATAAAAAATTTTTACTTATAAACGCTTTGTTGTGTTATCGTTTTTTTTTCTTTTCTTTTTTTTTTCACTGGCAATTGTCTCTTTCAATTTATTCTCTCTTTCTATTTTTTTAGATTTCATTTATTTTTCCCTGTCTCTGTAATTCGTTCTCATCACACATGTGTGACAAATACTACTAATATGGACATAATTGTAGGGTGTTTTTTACTATTGAGTAAAGAAAGACTAGTAAAAAATAGAGCGGAAAATCAGTGAAAAAAAAAAGAAAAAAAGAAACAAAAATGTTACAATGGTTACTTTTTCTATCAAAGATAGAAAAGAAAACAAATTGAGTAATCAATGGCAATCATGGACGAATCAGTTTAGCAATCAGTTTTAATAAATAGAAATAGAAACGCTTTCAATAGGATACTTATTGTTTAACTGATACATACTAATTAATCTCTATTTATTGAACTATTTCAAATACTCATTAATTCGAATTTAACTCAGCATGTCACAGCATTATTTAACGACACAATCGTTTATTTATTTTCATTAAGTTTGCTTCTAAACGGGAAAAAATAGTTTTCACATCAACCAAATATCGGTTAAAATAACACCTTTTTATCTAGTAGTAATATAACGGTTGAAATTACTGAAAAAAAAATAATTAGCTCGGAATCACATTGTATTTCTCCGGTACATTGACATAAAAAACGATTTTAAAAAGGACCACATGTGAAAATAAGTTTAACATAGAAAAGAAACCTGTTTCCATGCCACATTAAAATTGTTATTATTTTTTTGCTACGTTGAAGGGCTATTAAGGGTTTCTTTCCAGTGATTTTTTTTTTTGATGCATCTTTTCTATTTTGTTCGACACAAGAGAACGAAAGAAATCTTTTTTTTTTATATTACTCAATTTTAGGATGCCCATGGCATTAAAAGATTGTCAAAATGAATGTTAAATATTAAATTATATGTTCAATTTTGAAATATTAAGATGAAAGAACAATATTACGAAGATGAATTCTTGAATAAAATTAATGATTAACTAGTGAAGAACTGATCTATTAAGAAAAGAACATAGTCTTTCAAAAATTAAGAGTCGGAAGAAAAAACAAACCCTCTTTTTTCGTATAACTAAACATTTTTATAGATTAAAGTATCAGCGAAATACTCAATTTTTTAAGGTCAAGCAAAATCCGATACTTTTTAAAATAATTAAATTACATTCTATAAGGAATAAGGTAGCTGAGAAGGTGCAAGCGGAGTGTAAGTTATCACAAACTTTTTGGAAAGGTATTAATTGTGCTAAACAAGATAGTAACGATTTACCAGCAAGTATGAGACAAAAAAGCATTTTCCAACAATGAAAAAGCAAAACTATTCAATGAATATTTTTTCAAAATGTTTTGTACCAAAACAAGGACCAACTTCTAAGACAAAAATTGAAATAAACGATTTTTTCACATTAAATCCACTGTCTAAAGACCGACTAGATTTATAAGATTTATAAGTGAGCTGAGAAATGACATTGCGGCGGGGCCAGACGGCATTATTGTTAAGTTTCTCAGGGAATGCTGTATTCAACTTCTCGATGCTACTCATCACATTTTTACTCTCTTAATCCTCAATGGCACTCACCCCTCTAATTGGAACTTAGCGGGCGTTATTGTAATCCATAATAAAGGTCCGAATGCTTTAATTAATAAATGTCGCCCGATCTACTCTCTGTTTTCGGAAAAGTCTTAGAAAGATTTATTTACGATCAGTCAGCAGGATATTTTAACAAACATAATTTTTCAAATTTTCAATTCGACTCTCAAAAAATTACTCCACCACAGTGGTTCTGCTCTACGTGACACAAAATATCTATACAATCTTGAAACGGGAACTGATTCCATCATGGTTGTATTTGATTTTGAAAAAGCATTCGATTGTATCCCTCATCAAATTTTTGCTTATGAAGTTCTCTTTGGTGGGCGTGAAGGATGCACCATACAAATGATTTGAGAGTCATTTCCGATCGTCGACAGAGGGTTTGGACAGGTGAATCATTTCCAGAAACAGTGGACCTTCCATTTGGAGCCCCACAAGGAGTCCGTTTTGGGTCCCTTACTGTTTCTAATTTTTGTACATGATCTTCCGATGGCAACATCGTTATCCACGCTGCCGCATCTTTTTATCGACAAATGCTCGTTATTGTGTCCGATGAGTGTTCTGTGTACAGCAGCAGATCAATCAATCTTTTATAAATAAAATAGAAGAACAGTGTCAACTCAATCTTATGTCGTTGAATGACTCTAAATGTGTATGGATATACTTCCCAAATCACGATCCGTGCATAGCAAATCACTTTACTTCCACTATCAATGAAACATTCATCAAGCGAGAAAAGCCGATAGTTCTACTCGGAGTTAGGTTGAGTTCCAATTTATCACAGAGAGAGAGAACGTAAGAGATCTAAACTAGATTATGGCAGCATAGTTTATGATAGTAAGTGGTATGGAGACGAGTTGTATAAGATCACTAAACTATCCACATCGATGAATTGTAAAAACGTCGATGAATCTATGACTAGCTAATTAAAACTGCCAGATTTAACAACAAGAAGGAAATATTTCAGGTTTTTACAGTTCTTCAAAGTAAAAATTCTCTTTCTCCTCTAGCGTTTTTTGATCCACCTTTTATAAAACCAACAATTGCTCCAAGATCTGATCGATTAAACATCGATCGACAGAATAGTATGCAGCTTGAGACATCCACAGTTTCTAGAACATGTAGCTTCTTCTTTTTTTCCAGCGTACAGCGGTCGAATAAAACTCCCTGGCAGAATAAGCACTTAGCGCAAAAACAGTTACTTCTTTCAAAAGAATATTAAAAATGCATGTGCACTTCTGACTAATCTCTGTATCTATATTTTCATCTTTTCCATTGCATCTGTCTTTACTATCCTCTCAATGTTCACCTCTAACTCAGTAGCTTGCCTTTTCAAATTTTTCTCTTTATTTTGTAATCTACGTCTGTCTTAACGGTTGCCTTCTTTTCCGTGTTAATAGCACTACTTATTATAAGTCTCAGGCTTTTTGATACTTTTCCATGTATATCAGAGATCATTTTTTATACGTAAAATAAAGTTCACATTCAAGGTTGTTTTGTCCTACAGTATACATCAAAGAAGCATCGTTTCCATTCTCTAATATGACACAGATTTTCGTCATAATTACTGTGTCTACTACTTCTATAGAGATACAAATAACATATTTTTTTAGTCACTTATCTCTTTATATATCGCAAATATTCTGTCACTTGACTCAGATATTCACCAAAATAAGTACTTTAGAAACTTATTGAGTTTTCTCTATTTTATTTGAATATATAGACGAAAGACCATATGTGTTTACGTTTTTTATTTGTAGCATTTACAAAACAAATATACAAAATAGAAAAAATGCTTTATGTTTGAAATAACATCAATATGAGGAAAGAAAAAAATTTTTTTTGAAACAAAAACATTATTATTTCATATCGATAAATTGTATATCACTGACAATTAGTAATTTATTTTTTATATTTGGCTGTGGAGATAACAACGTTATTGTTCGTTTTTCTACATCAACATTCGTCCTATAAACAAAGTATTGACAATTACGATTAGGATAAAAATTTCAAATGGACAAATGATTACGTACACTACAACGAAACCCACTAAATTTTTGGCTAATAAATGTTCAGGAAAGGCTGAATGACTAACTGATAAAACATGATGTAGTAAACCTGCACCTAAAAACATATATTACAATCAGTTAAAGCGTAAATAAACAAAATAGAGACAAGATTAGTACTTGGCGCTATTGGTAGTATCTTATTGTATGGATTTTTTAATACCATTCCTACCGGTAGACAACTATCGGGACACTGAGGAGCTAAAAAAAAACAAATACAGTGTATCAAGTATATCAAAATAATAAGAACTACGATACCTCCTATTTTAAATATTTTTGCTTCGCTAAATTCAATCGTAAATGAATGTGGACAAATGTTATTTTTTGGACCATAAAAATATTCTCGAATTTTTGATTCACGAAATTTTTCTTTAGCACTATCTTTGGCCACCACCTTTATAGATAAACAAATATGTTGATAAAGAACGTTTCACTACAGAATATGTCTTACATACTCCACCAGATTTGGGCAATGTAATCACTTTGACAGATGATAAATCATTCATTAATTTTGTTGCTAGCCATTCACTATCCAAAACGATTATTAAATCAACTAAATAAACCAAATATTATACATTGATTTGACGATATGAATTATTTAGTAATATTAAACAATTATCTAGTACTCTCTAAAAGTACTGCAATATTCTTAATTAATGGTAACTAAGCGTTCGAAAATAAACTGCGGAAAATGATCAATAAAAGAACGGAAAATACGTGTGAAACACTGGAAACTTACCATCAAACGCTTTGGCAACATGTTTGAATGATTCGTAGCCTTCAGTTCTTATATAACCACATGTATTAATAACAACTCCACTAATTAAAGCTAAAAGAAACAAGAATAATATGATACAACGAATTATTATTATTTTTAGTTCGTTTAAAAACAAATTAAACAGTAGTCATACATTTTTCAACGTTTTCCGAGCGAATATTAACATACGTTGCTAACGATGAAATTGTTTCATTATATAATCCAATATTTTCTGATGGTGTTTTATAACCGTAATGAAATACTAATGGCATTTCAATCCGAAAACCGTCTTCAATTGATGATGGACGACGAACAACCATTGCAGCTAAAGAAATTTATTTGATAAGATTAATAGGATTTTTTCTCTTAGAAAATTGACTAACATATTGTTCCGGATATAGAAATTTGATTTTGTCCAACATCAAGATCGACTAATATAGGCGTTCTTCCTAGGCGAGCAGCCCAATTGACTAACATTCGACATAATGTACTTTTTCCAACGTCAGGCAAACCGGTAACCATCACCTAATAAGAAGAAAGCATATCAAAGATGTGTAGATCGATCAGAATCATATGATCTATACTAGTAATTTGAGTAAAACTTACCCTCGGTCCCCTTGTTTTATCTGTTTCAGCTTTCTGGCGTAACTGTTCCAGCATACCATGAACATTTAAATATATATGCATCGGATTTTCATCTTTTGCTACGTAGTAGTCATCATGTGTCGATGTAATCTACATATTTGAGTGTTGAAGTCAAGAGAAATAGCAAGATACTTTTAGAATAACTACATATAAAAGGTAAGCCAGAATTATCGAAACGAACGTTCCAGTAATTCTGACCCATCCTTTATACATTATAGAATTTATAAAGGATACAAGTACAGTACAACCCCACCAAGTAAAAATAGCAAATTTCATTCCAGCTGAAAATTTATATTTTTGACCAACAGCCAATTCTAGAGAAAAAACTAAACATATATTTTTGTTCTTTAAGTAGTATTCAAAGGCTCACCAGTGCCAAATATTTCAGCTTTTCCAGAACGAAGCTAAAAGAAATAACAAGCATATATTTGAAAGTTAGGTTAGATAAGAAAAAAAAATAGTTATAAACTTACTTCTATGGTTAAATTTTCATCTACATCGCCACGAAGTTCTTGTCCCGGTTCAATAACAACTTCTTTCTATAGAAGTGAACAACATCATTTTCATAAAAGTATGATCAAACAGTCAAGATTTAAATACTTACCGATGTTTGACTGGACATTCTGTGAAACAAATATGCACGATGTCTTATTAACAACAATAAACTGTAAGAAAAAAAAGCTCGTAAAGTTTTCGGAATAGTTTATAAATGAATACAACATGAAATCACTAATATTATCAGTGAAGCCATCCTATTAAAAGGAGAATAATGTGACATTCTAACTTCGAATAAGTACAAAAAAGGGGATGCAATTGCTGTTGGAGTCACTTACTCAAAGAGATAGATTTAGAAGCATTGAATCATAAATATATTTCATAAGCTTTTAGACCCATTATCAAAGGATGAAAACCAAAGATTATAGCAATAGTTTTTTCTTTATTAAAATCAAGAACAAGCAAAAGGCACATTAATACACATTCTTCGTAAAAGCAGACACTAATTTAAAAAAACGTTCAGTTTTTCTTCGCAACATCTTGGCATACAAATGCAATAAAAAAATACAAAAGGAGATAACACAAGCTCAAAGAATAGAGTTAACAAGAATAATTGTATGAGTCAGCGACAGTTCCAAATAAAAACAATGCAAAAAAATTCAAATTCATTAGGAACCGTCAATATCCGATAAGTAAGAAAAAGAAATGTTTCAATAAATATAATAAACATTTTAAAATGGTCTGCTGCTTGTTAAGCAAACAAACAAAATTTATTTTTGAGTGGAAGTGACACGAAAAAAAAAATAGAGATTAAAAAGAAAGAACAGAAATAGTTCATAACCAAATACAGAGCCACTTTACCACAACAAAATGTTCCAATTTCTAAATAAAAAAGAGTTATGGATATTAGTTTAAATGATACCGTCAGTTTTTAAAATTTCAAGTGATTAGCTATCTCTTATAAAGAGTTACAAGACGCATCTGACTATATGATTCTAATGAAAAGTAAAGAGTCTGGGTACTTATCCATGTAATAAAAAACTTTTTTTCAATGCTCTTCTACTCTTTTCTGACAAGTGTATTTTGCCGTTGGATAGGTGAAATGATTGTGCATTTGCGCATGCGATTGGTCTATTGTGCAATTCTAAGAAGGCCGAGAACCGTTCAAATCACTAAATAATATTTTGATTTTTTAAAAAGATCATGATCAGCAAAAACGCTATGTCTCCATTTTGTCCGCTTATTTTGTATTTTTCCCATTCCCTATACTTCTTCAATGAAAAATGAAGCATATTCGAAATTAGCAGACAAAACTAGATCGAATCATGTGTTACTCAAATATTTTTCAGAAAAATTTTCAATGAATTTTTGGCTAGAGTTTTCTAAAAGCGCTTTTTCTAAAATATTATTTAGCTTTTCCGATCGAGAACCGAACGGTTCTTGATCTTCTTAGAATTACATAATAGACCAATGGCATACGCAAATGGACGATCATCTCGCCTATCCAACGATAAAATGCGCTTGTCAAAAAAGTAGAGGAGTTTGTACTCATTTTTCAGTTATGAAACGAGTAATGCTCGTTTCGTAAAATGGTTAGTCATTTTACTTACTTTTACATTGCCTAGGTTGATATTTCTTGTTAAACTTTCCATATAACAATTTGTCCAAATAAATCAGCCGAACTAATTTTTGTCACTTTATTACCTTCTTTAGCATAAGGTATAATTTGTCTAAAATAAAAGGAAAAGTAGCATTAATATATACGTAACACAACTTCGTCTATTCGTTTGACTTACGTAATCATACTCTGGTGCGTTGATACAGGTTCAGGTGTTTGAGTTTGCATTGTTGCTTGATCGAATAAGCGACTAAAATAAAGAAAATCATACGTTAAATCAAAAAATACTATTCATGCTGCACAACTGGAAAAATATCAATAATCATGCTAGAGTGAGCAAAACGAGCTTCTTCATAAAATTAGAAAATAAAATCAAAATATTGTGCGAAGGAAATTCAGGAGAGGAGGGGATAAACTTGGCATTCACACTGATCTTGTTCAATCAAAAGGTCATGCATTACCATTTTTCATAGTCATGCTTGATTGCACTCAATGCATATTTCTCAAACCATTCATGAAACACAAAACATAATGTTTGAAAAATTTTATCTCATCATTTTTCTAATTTTCTTACGATGCCTGCAGTGGCGATAAAAACTCAACAGAATTTTCGTCCGATAATTTATTTAATGGAATAGCGCTTAAAAATATTTAAAACAAAAAAGAAAGCGTGTTTTATTTGACATTTTTTAGTAAACATGGTACAAATAGTGTGTTAAAGAAGAAATCATCAAAAATATTTGCTCACTTAATCGACTGCTTATTTGTGTTTGTTTCTTGATCTAATTTTTGAACGTATTGAATTGTACCGTTTTTCTCGTCATATTTATAAATTAATGGTGAGAATTCATGACCCTAATAAGAAACAAAATAATCGATATTTATTATTGAAATTTAATAATCAAGCATACCCCCGTGACAAGAGTATTTTCGTTTATGAAAAGAATACATCGAAATGGTAAATAGTTTGTTATTTCCGTAGCAATTCTAAAATAAAAGCTTTAAATAATAAAGTCCATAAAAATTCCAAAGTGAACTGACTTTGATATATTACTGGCCGTGACTACGGATATGATTGAATTATGGGAAACCCACGCTAAACTTTCGCCAGATGGAGAAAATGTAACATCATGAATCCATCCAGATTCTAAATAAAAACAAACAAACATCAGTAATCATACTAAAACAGAGTAAACAAAATGAACGCATTCGAAGAAAAATATCCACTGGACAGATCTTCTTTTAAAAAAAAATTGATCGCAATGCTACTCTATCCTACCTGTTTGAAACTCATGTAATAGTTCGCCAGCGCTACTGATTTTTCCCCAGCTAGATATTTCCGGCTTGGAATCAACTGCATCAATGTAGGCTGAATAAATACTGAAAAAGAAAAAGAAAGAACGAATAATAGATCATCTTTTTTAGTTCTTACTTTGTCAACTTACCGGCATCTATAATCGCAATTACCAACAACGATAAGCTGATTATTCGGGTGCCAGTTGATACAAGTTACTGTGGATTTGGGTTTTTTCTTAATCATTTCAGCTGCCCAAAATCGTTGATCTTGCTCATAATAACAAATAGCAATATTTTTATCACTTGATCCAACGGCAAATTTATTTTCTAAACAAAATTTATTTATTAACCCAAGGTAGATTAGTAAATTTGATTTGTCTTACCTTCAGGAGACCATTTTGCGCAACAAACAGCACGACTGGTTCGTTGTAATTCTACTAGTTGTGGTTTCCATTTATTCTCTTCAAATGTCCATACATAGGCATTATAATCCTATTACAAACACAAATCATTGAGTGATTATTTGTATAATTGATGTTTCAGTAGAAAGAAAACGACTTACAGCACTAGCTGAAACAATTCGATTTGTTTTTGGAGCCCAGTCAATAGCTAGTACTCGGGATAAGTGATCACTCAACGTATGTGTTAATTTCCATTTACCAAGAACTTTTTGATATATGCGCATGTCATTTTTTCCCAATGATAAGGCCAATTCTAAAAAAAATACGTTAACTATCGTTAAAAGTACAATAGAATTCATTTTCCTAGAGAACGATTCACCAAGGTTACTCAGTCATTAAATCTAAAAAGCTTTATTCTTATAAATCTGTTCAATGTTATATTTCGAAATAAATAAGAAAATCATAAAACATACGTGTACGATCCTTATTCCAGGCATGTGCAATAATCGGGAAGTTTCCAAATGAATGTACTTCGTTCATTCTAAAATAAAATGTTTAAATCTGATGAACACATTACTAATATAAAGACTTTAGCTCAAATTCTAGCAACGATATTATACCAAAACTTTTTTACTTCATGGTCGTGCCCAAGCACTAATAAAAATTCTAGCTACGCTACTGTAGTACATTCTTACATGAATATGTGGGAATAGCTTTAAAACTTAATAATCATAACATCTACACAAATTTTACAGAAAATATATTGTACTATTTCATGGTTCTCAAATATTTTTTTCCAAACTTTACAACATAACATTACGTCAGAGGCTATAAACGTGCTGTAAGTAGTAAAGGTGAAAATCCTTGTCAACTAATATTTCTTGTTTAGTTCACTTTTTCATTGGATAAATGAAAGAAACATATCGATACGAATAGAAGAAAAATCCCAGACAAGAGCAGAGCTAGCGAAGTAAAAAGTGCTCTTTTTCATTTGGGATATGCGCGAGTCCGCCGCGGTTCCTACCGAACTCAAAAAACAAAACTGAAATAATTTTTGTAATTTAGTATGATGTGATGTGTCATCAAATTTTTTGACATGCCAATACGGATAAACCAATCCAAACGGACAAAAAATGTCGCTCCAGAACAGTAGTTAGTTCTAGGAGTTAGATGTCCTGATTGAGAGAGGTATGCCATCATTTGCATGAGTTTGTTTCTCATACTTGAAAAATTTCTTGGAGAACTGGAGTTTTCTTCCAGAAAAAAGCATACTACGCAACAAAATATAAAATAGGAAAAGTGAAGAGTCTGCTGAATAGCTAAAGTTTCTTCTTGAGTAACGCATTTTTTCTGAGTAACTGCATGCTTTAAGCTACTGGAGAAACTTACGCAGGTGCATAAGAGCTAGTTTCCCAACAAATAAATGAATTACTCAGAAGTTAGAGAAAATCACGTACTCAGGTACATAAAAAGCAGTTTCTCAACTTAAATTTCTTAAAAAATTTCTGAGGAAGTCAAAATCTTTTGAGTAACTTTATCCAAACGAGGGGGCGGATTTGGATTTCCACCCCTAACACCCTCTAATCGATAACGCTGGACGATAAACCGAACGGTAATCGCAGTTATCGTGCGATAATTTCGATTTTGCCACCGGTATAGCGGCTGGGTACTGAATGATGACCAAGTGGTAACCGAGCGATACTTTTCAGTTTTGAGGACATAGGATGTCATGTACAAGTTTTTATTCATATGTTTTATCACACCGATAAATATTTTGAAAAAAGTATATAAATTATAAGTACAATAGGCGTGCACTCATTCATTAATAATCAGTTATATTAATTATCCTGAATATTTTTCTTATAACATTTGTTTTTGCTAATAATGAACGCTCGAGTATACATACATAGAGTCGCATCGCTGTGGCCGTCATAGAAGGTGGACTTCCTTAAACGCTTACTATCTGCTGCTGATCGCAATTTTTCATATAATATCAATGTATTTGTTTTCAACAACGCTGTGCTTTTGACGACACTTCTCAACATAAAGATTGTAGAATCACCAAAATAGAGATGTGAACGGGTACCATTTTCGTACCCGACCCGAAAATTTTTTTTCACTCGTACCCCACGCGACCCGAGAACTGTGTATCCGTACCCGACCCGTAATCGACTTATACCTAAAAATTTTCTCCTTTTTGTTTTTCAGCTAAAAACTTTTGTTTTTCGACTGAAGCTGTCAAATTATTATTACGTTCTCAAGTAATTCTTTTTTAAACCTTCATGTATGTTAGCTAAATTCCTGTATTTTTTCCCTAAAATTTTGTGGATTTTCCACTAGAATCTTCTGGTTTTCGGGTAAATTAAAAAAAATAGAACCCATACCTGTAACTGCTCTACCCGTACCAGATAACTTCGTACCCGTACCCAACCTTCGGGTCGGATCGGATACGGGTCGGGTTGCACATCTGTACACCAAAACGTATTCTCTTTGGTAAAAACATCGGTGTTTTATTAGAGTAGTATAAATCAACCTTGTGAAAATAAGCGAGCTTCTCTCATTTGTTTCCGCTGTTGAAAAATAAATGGAATATATGTCAGCATTTCAAATGTTTTCATCCAATTTAAAAAGCATAGAAAATATTCATGGGAATAATAACAAATGAGTTTCGCTGTTCGTATTGCAAGCGAATTACGAACCCGTGTTGCGACTACACAAGATTTATGATGTGCTCTCTTTTCCTCGCTACCACTATTATCCGTTTATTTTTCTTCATAATTAAAATTGTCCAAATGAAGTCAAGATCAGCTCACCGGTCATTTATCTGTTTTACTACGACGAATAAATTACCAAGATGTGACATAACTTTGACAATTTTTTGAAAATCCGCTGAGATTGTGTAAGACGCATCAAATTCGACGTTTAAATACTATTTTATTTTAGGCTATATTACACACGATTCGATAGAACTCGACGCACTGATCAAGAATATCTAGTTTTAGTTTAAAAATGTTGGATTTTGAAGGAGAAATTTTCAAAATACTGGAAGGATCTGAAATTTTATAAAACCTGTGTGAAAAATACCTGTTGTGAAAAATAACGTAATATTTTTTTCCTGTTCCATTTTCAAAATCGACAAATTATTTTTCGAATTTAGCGTAAAAAACTGGATCTAGAAATGTCTAGAAAATCTGTTAAATACCGCGATCCGAATAAAATTTTAAAACTTATTTAAAAAAATTGTCACATCGCGACCGCGAATGAATCACGAAAGTTGACTTAGGTAACTGATTATCTGCAAAAGATAGATGTTAATATTACTTAATTAGGAGAAAAGACCATATACTCTCACTAATAAGAGAGAGTTCAGCTATTTTTCTATTTTGCATCAAGGCTAAAAATCGGAACTGCTGTTGAAAAGGAACTTATCTCATATGTCTGCATTCACGGGAAAACCTCGCGTAACACAGGCTACTTTATTTTTATTCAAGGATCATTTTATGAATGTTTATTTGTCACCTGACATTCTTCCATTGTGGACAGAGTATGTAGATTTGTCCACGTAAAAGAAAACAGTTAATATTTTGAGAAAAATTATATACTGTACAGTATTTACTTTTGTTATTTTCACTAGGTAATACTAATTTTTTTTTTAGATACTATAAAATTTTGAAATCTTTTTTTCTGTTACTGTGAATGTGACAATCGATGAAATAATTATTCTAATTTTCTTTTCTTCTCTCTCTTTCTTTCTTCATTTGATTTTTTTTGCCGTGACTATATTTGCTTATTCGAATATCGATGAGATAGATAGATAAAATATTCATAAAATTATAAATGAACGACGAATGTCTTAATAAAAGAGCTGAAACAAACTGATTTCATTTGAGAATAAAAAAATAGTGATGATTATCATTTATTTTAGAAGGTATGTACACACGATAGATTTTATTACATTACATGTTTTAAGTAAAATAATCTATGATTTTTTTAAAATTTTTATATTTCTCATGAACAAGTTTAGTATTATGTACAGTCATTTTTCCTATAGTGTCATCTTTGAGTAAAATTCCAATTTTTTTATAATCAATTTTAGTCATACTTCAATCTTACATAATTAAACTAATATTATTAAATAATTAAATAATTACTGCTGCCATTATTAGTCTATTAAAGACTTTCTTTCATCATTTTATTTAAATAGACAAGACGACAACTAATTCAATTATACGAGATTATTTCCATGAAAGAAAAATCGCCAATGGTCGTTGTGTGAGATTCATTTCAGACATTTTTTTTGGAAAACATACACGCAGGAAAAGAAAAGAAGGGAATTACTCTTCTCGATATAGAATTTTTAAAAAAAAAAAGATGAGAAGAAAAAAAACCCACAGATTGTATATAAAAAAAAAAAAAGCTGAAATGCATCATTTAATCTGTGATAGATCTATGTCTATGTTAGTATTGCACTATTATTACCAACAAGGGTCTTCTTTTCTTTGTTTCAAATCGTTAAGGATCATAGAACGTGATTTCTATATAGTTATACAAAATACATTGTAAGTAAGAAAATGATCAAGAATTTGACTATCTATTAAATTCATTTCAATTTCATGCGATATCAATAGTTCAAAATAAATGATAACTGGAGTTAGTTGATTCTTTATTTTTGCTTTGTATGGAAAAGTTTTGCTTGAAATATATATTTCAACTATATCATACTAACTACATGTTAATAGGAATATCAATTCTTTTTTTTATCTTCTTTTTTTTTTTTCTTTCCTCTTAATAGATGTTGTTTACTATTGTTGTTTTTATTAAGTTGATAATCACAAGTAAATAACTTTAATCGAATTGATAATCTCTTCAACACTTCTTTCGATATTTATATAACAGAGGAAATACCAAGTTTGACAAAGAACGAAAAGAAAGCGCCACTCGCCGTCTCTTTTTTTGTCTATTAGATTAACAATATTTTTTTAATTTAATTCATACCAGCGTGAATTAGTCCGATTTTAAGTTAATTTTGTTTCATGATTAAACGTTTTAATGAACAGATATGGTCTCTCTATACGAGGTTTACTATTTCTGTATATGAAAAAGATATTCGAAACAGATCTCTATTTCGTTCAGTCGTCAGTTTTTTAATATTAAGTGATGCTAAAACAATGTGACAACTGTTCGAATTAACAGAAATGAAAATTGTTGAAATTAGAACGACATATACAGAAAGAAGGAAGTTCTTTGACTTTCACGTCTGTCTTTTTCCATTATTTTTGACTTTCGGAGAAAAGAAAGGATTTTTATCTTCGATATGATTCGTCATCAATTAATATCTCAGTTATTTTTTCTTTCTTTCTTTCTTTCATCTACGATGATTTCACATAACTTCAATTATTCAACTCAATCGTTTGTTGAAAAAAGATTTTTACCACTTAAGCCGTTAAGGCTAATTGATGAAAAAAACAAAATCTTTTGGGGATTCGAGAGTCTTTCATAGTACGATAAATTCAAAAATTTTACTATTGTTCGGTTTTGATAGTAAATATGTCAAGATATAGAGCCTAGATTGTTCATCCAGAATCATACGTCGATGATTAACGGACTATTGACATCCTAAAAATAATGTATTACGAGGATGTTTAGATCGTTAATTAGATGTTAACAACACCGTTGTCATCGTTCTGTGAAGAAAAATATTTGTCAAATCAACAAATATTCTGAAAGGTTGAGTCTACTTCTCTGTGACTGAATATTATAAGCTCGACAAACATTACTATAGACGTGTAGTTTAAATAATAATTCTGCTGAGAATAGAGTAAAGTTAGAACATAAAGAATTTTAGCAAAAGCCTTCTATTTATGTAGTTGAATCTTTTATATCCATTAATAAAAACTTTTCTATAATTGAGATCATTTTCAGTATTGATTAATGAAAATATCTACTATGATAGACAAAATTAATTTTTATACGAGAACAAATTTATTATTTGCTCGATATATATAGATATTGTCATGACAGTCCACTAAGATTAATCATTGATCAAAGAATCTATGTTCATATATCGATATACGGAAATAACCTTTCCGCTATAAAACAACTCTTCGATGCCAACCATTGTTTTCTTTTTCTTCCCTAATTAAAACACATGTGGTGAGTTAAATAATCAATATTAAGGAATAAAGAAAACATAAGAAAAAATAGTCATTTTTATCACATAGATGAACATACACTCTACTAAGAATTCATTAATAATCAATATTGGACAGTTGCATAAGAACAAAATTGTTTTTGTAGATACTTTTCATTATTAGGATGAAATACGATAAAAAAAATCTTTCTGTTCCTTAGAGCTACTTTATTTTATATTTGTAAGCATCACTATCACAAAGTAAATCATTAATCATTGAACAGTTGATCAGAAGAACTTGCGCACAAGGTTCTTGGAATAGATGAGTTATCTACATGCAAAATGATTTTTAGTTTAGATAAGAGTGACGAATATTGGTCTCATATTGATTTTCATGAATTTCGAAAACGTTGAGCGTTAAAAGAGTCGATAATGAATATGTGTGTGTATTATTGATAAAAAGACTCAAAAAAACCATGAACGGCTATGATTTGTCAGTTCAAATTGAAGAGGTAGGCACAGGAATTAGAACATGTGTAAATTGTTTGATCTCATATTCTGTGTAAATAGTGATTGTTTGTTCCTACAATTCAATGTTCTGCTATTATTATCAACGTTTACCATTGTCCATTGTACAATTATTTACCATAAAAAGATATTTGATCGACCTGTCTCATGTCCACGTCTGTTCAAATCGCTGATTACTTGTGAATGTGCTCATGATAACGAAAATCGCATTGGAATCGATTGTGGTTCTCGACCTATTCAACAGTTGCCCCGATCATGGAGAACAATCACTCATGTTTATAGAAATAAAACCAGCGAACTGCAACAACAACAACAACAAACTGTCGACTTTTACTCTCACAGTAATATCAATACATTTACTCAATCCGTTGTTTATCTCAATTTATCTAACACAAATATTTCATCATTAAAATCGGATGAGTTCCATGTACGTAATTAGACATATCTTTAACAAATGTTTTCATATTTCTCATTCTATCTTGTAGGGTCTTTATCATTTGCAAGTACTATCAATTGAAAATACACCATTAAATGAAATTCGAGCTCATAGTTTTCGTCACTTAACACAATTAGATGTACTGAGAATTGAACGTAATTTAAATTTAATCGAATTAAACGCCTATTCATTGAGTGATCTTCATAATACGCGTTTAATATCGTTAACCGCAAACGGGATACGCATTATTCATTCTGAAGCATTTCGTAATACACATTTTATTAATAAACTTGATTTAAGCGACAATCCATTAGAGGTAGGTAGATGGCGGTAGTTCTGCGTGCTGTAAATATGACATTCACCGTTTTATTTTTTATCCAGCATATTTCATAATATATACATTTATTTACCTGTATTAATAATGTGTAGGGGGAAGCTCGCTCACAGGGAATACGCACGAGTGCAATTTCTGTCACTCATTTTCTTCCTTGGGAAGGTCTGAGAGAAAGGCTATTTAAGACTCTAGAAGGGTCCGCATCCGGTAACGGATGGCACGCGATCAGAAATGGTCTTCGCTCATAGAATGTTGGCACAAGATCTGTACTATTTTAGTAGAGGGATGCCTGTTTATCTATGACTGAAGTTGTGAAAGCGTGTAGCCAGCCACATGAAGTGCAATGAACGAGATGGAATTGTTCCAGAACTCAATTCAGACTACTCTCCCCCTACACACTCTTTTTCTACATTAAAAATCTTGTCCATACTTCAAGCTAAGCTGATAGAGGAGTAGACTGTATATGGGATACTCTGAATTGGACTTTTTATTTAGATTATCGAATCTTACGCATTTACTGGCCTAATGACAATTGATACATTGATCTTATGTTCCGCAGCATCAATCAAATGTAAAATAAAAAGCATCGAACCATTAGCATTTTTTGGTTTCAATCAATGCAGCAATCTTTCGATCGTTGGACTGACAACACCTATCGAACCACAGTCGTTTTCATATATGATTAAAATTAAAACAATTGATTTATCCAACGGACATGTAACTAAAATTAGACAATACGCATTCGATCATTCAGAAGATATTGGTGAAATTAATCTTTCTAATTCGTTTGTTAAACATATCGAACCTGGTGCATTTAATATAGTGGTCAATTTTACATCACTTAACTTGCGTGCAAATCTTATTAGACATTTGTCTCGTGACGTATTTGAAAATATAACTGCTCAAATAATTGACTTGAACGATAATCCGATACAATGTGATTGCTCGTTTAAATGGTTTTTAAAATCTACGACATTGATACAAGCTTCTTATTTGTTACCGGATACATGTGCCGGCCCCGATGGGTATGAATGTCTACCGATTCAAATCATAACACAAAAAATGCTCCCGTGTTCGTTGAATCGAACAAAAAATTTTTGCGTGGAAAAAGCTAACAATAATCTGACGATAATGCCAAAAAACTCAAGTAAACTGACGTACGAGGAAATAAATGGTTTGTTGTGGCTAATAGTTTTTATTCAAACTGTGCGTTCATCTGTCACTGCAGTAATTGAGTAGTGAACACAACCTTTTTTAAGTGTTTTTCAAGGTGTATGTAGAATATACTCACCGATATGCAGTGATGTTTACCATATTCTCACAGAACTTGATATTAACGATTGTGGACCGATGTATATTAATAAAATTTTTATGTGTATTTTCTATCATCATAAGACCCAACATTGGCCTGCGCGACGAATTTAAATATTAGCAAACAAAAAAAAATACATATATTTATTATTAACAATGAAAACATAGTTTTATACACTTTAGATACGATTGTAATATGAATATGGGAGGGGGAAGAAGACAAATAAAATGTCAATTATTTGCTGTTGTTCTTTATCATTTTCTATAACTTGTAAACGAATTACCCGTAGGTTGAGTTGGAGCCCCAAAAGATTGAGAACCTAAATAGATAAATATATAATTATTCCTCAGCTATTAGTGAAAAATATATTGTTACTGTTTTTCTTATTACCTCCAAAAGCTGGCCCTTGTGGCTGTGCAGGAGGAAGTGAACTGGAACCGAACACTGATGAAGATTGACCAAATATTCCTTGACTCGGTGTTGAGGTGTTCTGACCAAAACCAGCAAAGTTAAAAGTGCTTCCACCATTATTACTTGCTGGTTGACCAAAACCTGTAAAAGTACTACCAAATCCTCCACTTGGTTGTTGGGATGAATTTGCTCCAAACGCTCCAAATGTACCGCCTGTTGCTTGTGTTTGTGAAGTAGGAGAACCAAAACTTCCGAAACCAGTTGATGGTGGTGAACTGAAACCGGAACTTCCAAAGCCGCCAGTTGATGCTGGGCTTGTGTTAGCTGCTAGGCTACCAAAACCTCTGTAGAAAAACGATTTGTTAAGCTCAAAAGTAGTTTAAAACAAATGAAAAAAAACTATCGTTAATCCTTCTCACCCTGACATTGCAGGATTGCCGGTTGAAGCACTTCCAAATATTGTTGTTGGTGTTGTTCCTGTTGGAGGGCTGCTCACAGCAAACACGCTTGAACCAAGTTGAGCTGATTGACCGAAACCTGAACCTGTGAGCACAATAAAAATAGTTATATCTTTTCTGCGAAAGTAGAATAATGTTATGATTGTAGTACCTCCAAAAGGCGGTGATGTAACTGGGTTTAGTTGAGGAAATGAATTAAATGGTAACGAGGGCTGACTTCCGAAGCCTGTGCTATTTTGTGTTGCACCAAATGGCGTTGTTATGGAAGTTGAAGATGGCGTAGAGGAGGGAAACGTGGGTGTTGTTGTAATAACTGATGATGGCGAAGGAAATCCCGTTATTTGAGCGTTCGTGGTCTGAGTACTTGGTGTAGTTTGTGTTACATTTCCAGTGCTAAATCCCGATATTGACGGTTGTGGTGCCACTGTCGAAGAAGTGGATGAAACCACATTCGTTGTTGATGCTGCAGATGATGGCGTAACTGTACTAAAACCAGCACTAAGTGGAAAGGACAACGACGTAGTTGGTGCTGCAGATGTGACCAAAGAGGTGATTGCTGATGATGCCGGAATGTTGGATACTGTAATGCCAAAACCAAATCCATTTGGTGTCGATAATGGCGGTGTCGATGTAATTGCATTTGTGAAACCACTACCAAATGCAAGAGAGCTTGATGATGTTGTAGCAACAGAGGCTGGTACACTTTGACTAAAATAGATCAAGATGAAAGATACAATAAAAAGATATAGCGTTGTTTTTTCCAAAGCAATTCTAGTTAATTTGAATAATATAATATACCAAAAATTATGAGGGGCCTTTAGAATTACGGATGACTATTTCTCCTTACCTTTAAACCAAGATCTAATTTATATAAAGGTTAATGTGATGGAATTATTGAATTATCCACACGTGCGTGTGTGTATGCAAACTTTATTTTTAATTTTCATCACAAAGAATCGCAAACGATCTTTTTTTCTTGTTGAATCAGCTGAGTTTAGTCGTGATTTCTATCCCTCATACAGGTAGGTTAGAAAAAGAAAAGGTGAAAGAGAACGAAGAAGTCATAGACCATTTTTCTGAAATAGAACTACATCAATCAACAGGATGTCTCAAAGTATAAAAAGTTGATTCATATTCCCCCGTATATCAATAGAAATAAAATTCTCTACAGTGACCGTCATAAAAAATTTTGGTTTCTGTTCTCTACGAATTTTTACGTTGAACTATATCTCATACTTTTGTTCTCTTACTCTCTCGTTTTTTTTTTCGTCGCTATTGATTACTATTTTTTCAATAGAGAGACACATACATATGTTTGAATTTAACCTACGGCCGATTATTTCTGTTTTACAAGCAAATACTAGACACGTTTACAAAATCATTGAAATCTATCTGCGTCAACACAAAATAAATTTAATTTTTTTCACCTTCAACTCAAAGTTGTCACCAATTTACTTTTTGTTTTAAAAAAAGACAAAATCGGATTTGATCGGGTAAGCTATAAAGAAGTAGATTCGAGTCTTCTACCGACTACATAAAAGAAAAGAGAAATATAAAAATACTGTATTTATCTAAGCTCTTTATATCGTAATGTTATTATAATTTTATATTAAGAAATTAGATTATAAAGAAAGACAAGCACTATGGCATCGGCGATGACACAAGATAACTATTTAGAACAAAACGATAAAATTCATCATTTACAATGTGAAACAGTTGTACAAGAATTATTTGATAGAGACAATCAGATAGCTGCTGAATGGACAATTGAGCCGCAAATTGAAATACATTTTTGTCAACATAATCCACATCCAATGATCTATGATAATTGTACATCAACAGCAACAACAACAACGACACCAAAGACATATGATTAATATTTTATTCTCTGTTATTTAATTTTAAACAATAATAAATAAAATGCAAAAATATTTACTTACGGTATGGTTTTAGATAAAGCTGTTGATGACTGTGTTGGCATTGATTCATTGAGTAATGCTCTGATAGAAGCATCTTGTTGTACAGTAGGCTGCGTTAATGTCTTGTTTATCGATGAACGAAGATCAGCCTCTGTTGAGATTGAAGCAGATGATGCATTTGTTGTGATGAGCGAAGGATTAAGAATTGTAGGAAGAACTGTTGATGTTACGATTATTGGAGGCGGTTGTTGTTTCAAAATATTATCAGCCTGTGATACACGAGTTGGCGTTTTCACTGGATCACCAATTAAACTTTTTATTGGTGAAGAAATAGGTGGTGGTTGTTGAGAAATGACGGTATTGATTTCTGATGAAGATGTAAATGATTGTTGTGGTTTTGATGGTGAAGCATTTTGAGTTCCCAATGAGATAGATTGTTGCTCACGCAGTAACGGCATATTTGTTTTTAATGGTGGTGGTTGAAACGCTGCTTTTTGCTGGTTTATCGTTGTCGCCGGTGTTGTTTTATGAATCGTGTTCGTATTTATTCGATTTTCTTGAGTTTTATGTTTATCTCTTTGTATTGGACTAGCTGACAATGTATTTGATATAACTTCTAACGCTTCAGGACTTGCCGAACCCGAAACTATATCGATTGATGTACGAACAAGACGTAACATATTTGTGAAACTTTCGGATTCTGTTGGTGATAGAGCTAATGTCGACGGAAGCACTCCTAATTGTTGTGTAAGCTGTGATAATAAAATATTTTTTGATATTGAACTTGATTCATCAGTTTTTTTCTGTGGTGTTTGATGTTTTTCATCAATATCTGATAGTGTAATAACAGCAGCTATAAAACAAAAATTCGAAAAATAAATTTTTGATATTTTCATGTTTATTGTATGAGATTGAAATATAAACGAAATATTGTTAATGTATGATTAGTAAAACTATCAAAACTATTTTTTTATTTACCTGCTGGAACTTTGATTTGTACTAAATTTGCTCTTGTTGATTGTAATAATGATAATAAATGAGAATCATTGTCTTCTATACTAGATGTTGTTAATCTTGAACTAAAAAGAATATTTAAAAAAATATTATTTTAAATATATTTAATTATAAACTTTTTTAAAAAGATTACTTTTTGAATTTCTTCTTCTCAATATCTCGCTCATCATCATTGTCAATATTTGAGGATATTTTACATGATTTTAAGTTCGAACAAATTGTTTCTATATCTTTTTCTGCTGCCGTTACTTTTTTACTTAATACACGAATACGATTTTGAATATGATGTTTTAATGTTTGAGTTGAATAAGATAACTCTAATTCTGGCAAAAAATCTCTAAAATAAAAATAATAAAAGTTTTAAATATTTTATAGATGAACATGTTATTCAATTTTAGATCATTAAATCAACATACTCATTATCATTTTCTTCATTTTCATTATTCATTACTGATTTATCATGAATTTGTGTATGTGTTAATTGTACAATAACAGCCAAATCATGTTTGATTTTATCATATTTCATTTTTATTGTATCTAAACGATTTTGTGTCCAGGGATCTAATTGTCTATCGCGTAATAAATGATATAGACTCTCTTTTTGAACTAATTTTATTTGACGACGGGCATTTTCAATTGTTGCCAATGATTCTAGATGATCATTTGCCAATGTTTTTAATGTTCGATTAGCAGCCTTAAATAATTAAAATGATTTTAGATTAATTACTATTAGGAAAAGATTAATATACGCGCTATATACCTGCAATGATTGTGTCGTCTCAGTCAATGATTTTGTTATTAAATCAAGTGATTTATCAACTACAGTTGAATATTGATCTGTTGTTTTACTTTCACTGAAAGATTTGTCTAATAATTTCAATTGACTATGAAATTGATTAACCTAAAATAAAATAAAATTATTCAGACATAAGATTAAAATATTTTAAAATTGGTCAAGAAATAATTTTACACACCATTTGAAGAAGATTCGACGAATTGTTTGTAGTTACTAAAACAATTTATGAATATAACATCAGTATTAATTTAGAGTATAATGATTTATAATTAATTACTTTTAGTATTTTCTGGTAAACTTGTTGATTGCAATAATGAAGCTACGGTTGTCGCTCGCTTTTCTTGTTCATTAGGCAACGTGTTCTTTTGCATAGTATTAAGACCAAAATTAGATTGTTCCATTTTAAAACTTGTGCTTGATGAAGGAAGAGCAGGAAATTGATGCGGAACAGATGTGGATGCTGATGAAGGAAATGATGTCGATTCTTGAACCGATGACTTGTTCCAATCATTATTTTCTCTACCTAAATCTAATCGTGCACCATTCAACTCAGTATTTTGTGTCAGTGGTAATGGTGTTTTTGACACAGTTGGTTTTGTTCCTTGTTCAAACAACTTGAAAGTATTGTTGAAAGGTGAAATAGAATCGGACGATTTCAGTGGCACCGGTGAAACGTTCTCTAATGATAGTGGAAATGGATTTGTTTCTAAAAAAACAAAATAATTTGATGATTAAAGGCCTGTAAGATATCTTTTCTACTCACTAAACAAATCTCTTTACTAGCCGCACTGTAAAAAATTCGCACGTTTAAACCGTGCTAACCTGACATTTTTTCCAACCTGATGGTTAAAACGCCAGGTCAACATGATGTTTTAACCGTTCGGTTACAAAAACGTCAGGTTGGAACGTTCCAAACCTCTGTATGATTTTGTATTGGGGAAAGAAATAGCAAGTGGGCAGGGTTTGAGTTTGAAAAGGCACACTTTGCTAAAGAATGGGAAGGTTCTCGGTTTTTTGAAGAATTCCGTTGTTTTTGAAATAAATGGATTTTACATTTCACAGAGATGCCACCTTTCCCATAATAATGTATTTATCTCAAAAACGACGAATTTCTTGAAAAAACTGAGAACGACAAAGAGTTTCTTATTAGAATTTCTATTCAATCTAAAATATTAAATACTTATCTAATTATTGATGTCTTTCCTGTAATATTTGTTTATTTTTTTCTTGTACTGTTGTTTTCTTTATAAAAGTTATATTCACAACATTAACGTTATTGTAATAAAAATACAGAAGTTTATACTCTGATTTGTTTGTTAATCGGAACTTGCAAAAATATCTGTGTCTGAACTCGCTATAAAAGAATCAGCGGTTTCCTCACATTTTGCCTTGTGACATTCTTCAGGTTATTCTTTGACATGTGTACTCTAAGGATCGGCGATTCGACAGGTTGCTATTCTTTCTAGAGTGCCTCGAACTAATCCGAGAGTTACAAATGTGCAAAACGATCATCCCTACTTGACGATTAAGCTGATAGATTCCTCTGTTTTGCATCTGATTTCTTTGAACATTTCGAAAAAAGCTAACTTAATATTTCGTTTGTGATTAACAACCTTCCTTGTAATGGCGTAGCCAGGATTTTATTAGTGGGTGAACGTTGGCCCAAATTTTTTCAAAGTGGTAGACATTAGCGCAGAGTACTGTGAATTATAAAACTTTTAGTGGGTAGGCTGAGCCCATCCCAATCCACCCGGTGGCTACGCCGCTACTTCCTTGGAGCAGTATGCAACACGTTACTTCTACCAGAGGTGGGCGATGGAGGAGGATCCCCGCGAGGAAGATTTTTTGAAAGTTTGACGAGGCACGGGACGATGATGAGGCAAGAACTGCACGAGACGATTGCATTTTTTTCTTGTTAGTGGAAGACGAAATGGAGACACTGAACAGAATTCTTTTCAATTCACTTGAAAAATACATTTTTTTAGTAGATAACATCTATCACACACACAGCGTTTCCACAAGTGGAAGTTAAAGCTCTAACAGTTGTTTATTGCAAAGGTTATTTCTAACCTTTTTTATTTGTTCTTCTGTCTTCCTAGTATCTAGAATCAATAGTTGACGATGGGCGAGGCGGTGACAGAGCAGAAAGCTTACGGAGCGATCCCCCCGAAGTAGATTTCGCAAAACTTGACGATGTACGGGGCGATGACGAGGCAGGAAGTCTGCGAGGCGATTCCCGCGAGGGTACTAAAGATAGTCCATCGCCCATCTCTGATGTCTACTGCTAAGTTTCTATGCATTTTAGTTGAAAAATCAAATTTTGTTTCCAATCTTTGCTTCTGTGAAGTTAATGATAAAACATTAAACATAAAAGAAAGAATAATTCATTTTAAAACATTCGATGAGAGAAACCCGACGCTTAAACCGTCAGGTCGTGCAACGGTTTGAGCATCGGTTTTTTTTTTTGTTTATTTAATCTGTGAGGTTCTATTCACTCACTTCTCATATTTATTTGCATAAAGTGAACGGCTATATATAGTACAAGAAAGTAGGTACCTAGTGAAAGACACTTACAAATCCAAGATAATTTCGATGCACTGTAAAAAGTGTAAGGTAAATTAACATTATCTTCGGTTATTTTTTCATTATAACCTAAGCTAATACTACCCACTTTGTCTTTTTGGTAGTTTTATTCTTTGTATTAATGTTAATCTACTCTATTGACACTTTTACTGTAAAAGTCAGCCTGAAAGAACAACTTGCTTTAATGTTAATTCAAACTAAACTCTATAATTTTCGTTTGGTGTGAACTCACATTAAAATGTAGATATTCGCCTATATTGACATTGAAGATTGGTTACTATTTACATTAGAGCGAAAATATGACCTCTCAGACACGTGTGAATGTACCTTTTGAGGAAAGTATACATGAACGATAAAATGAGTTTACATTATATTGGATTATCTTTTCTTCTCTGATTTCGGTAGTTTTCTTATACGTAGTAATGTTAATGTGCTCGATCGCCATTTACTTTTTAAAAGTCAGTATGGAAAAACGCCTTACTTTAATGTTAATTCAAGCTTAAGTTCTTATAATGCCTTTGATATAAATTCACATTAGAATATAAACATTATATTATATATAATTAACATTAGAGACTCGTGTATTAGTTACGGTAGAGTACAGACATACATAGATAAATTCACATTCGAATTTGTTTTTTTTTTAAATTACTATTAGAGATTCGTGTATAATTACATTAGGGTAAAGACATACACGTGTAAATTCACACTAAAGAACGTGAACGTACTTTCTGACTTATATATAGAGAGAAAAAAATAGAAAAAATGTTTTATAAGAACAAGCATTACGTATGTTGTCTGTTTTATCAGTATGTTGGATCGGTACCAGTCATTAATTTATCAAATAGATTATATTCAACCAATAATTAATGTGTATAATATTTATATTATTATGTTAAAAATTGGTGTTTTATAATTGACATTTTCTGTTGTGTGAGCTTTTTTTCTAACATAATCATACGTACATTGATGAATTTTTGTTTTTGTTGTACCAGGAACAGATATAAATTAAGTAGCTTTTTTGGAGCATTCAGTTCTATCAATAGCAGTCTGTACTATAATTTTGCAAAAATAGATAATTTACTTCAGCAGGCAATTACACCATATAAAAACTTCTTACAAGTGCGGCCGACTTTTGAGAAGGTTTTATGGGTGTTGATGCCACTAAGAATTTTCCTTCGAAAATAAATGACAAATTCTCTTCACTATAGACAGCCAGATATTTTTTTATTCCAATTCTCAGTTTTTTTTGTATCATGTCATTGGTTTTTTAAATAAACTCGAAAAAAAAAATAAACATTGAACAATTATGAACTTGATTTCAAAATCTAAACATTGAGACAAAATGAATTTACACCGAGAAAGTTTTTGGAAGATAAATCAACCGTATGCTTTAATGTGAATTAACACGATAGAAAAGTTTTTAAAGAAAATGTATATATAACCTACTATTTAGTGTAAACTTATCATAGTGGAAAATTCACACGAAGATGGCAGGCTCTCCCTAAGCTCTAATGTGAACTTTTCGTACAATCTAATGTGAGTTAACACGATAAAAAATTTTTTTAAAAAAATGTAAATGCAACCGAATATTTAGCGTAAACTTATCATAGCGGAAAATTCACACGAAGGTGGTAGGCTGCCCCTAAGATCTAATGTGAATTTTTTTAACAGTGTGGAAATGAATTGTTATGAGAACAAACATTCATAATGTTCGCCTCGCAACAACATAATCTATTCTTCAACAATGGTCATCATGTAAACACAAGAGTCATTCAAGAAAGCTCATATTTTATCATTAGTTCCAGTTGACACAATGTACGCTCACATAAAACAGTGAACTTTCTTTGATAGATTTGATAAACAGTAGACAACACTCTTTCACACATCGGCTTTCATTTCCACCAACAAAACAAATCCAAGTCCCAGAAAGTAATCGGTGCAAGACAATTTCTTACATTCTTACTGATATAAATAGCAATTTTTTCTCGAATTTAAAGTCGTCTAAGCTTGGTTACAGAATTTGATCCTAGTCGTCCCGCCCTAGAAACGATACTAAAGATTGTACCGTACTCCTGGAACTAATATCAGAAACCAAAAAAATTCAATATTAATAAAAAACAATAGCTTGGAGTAATCAACTAAAAATTGGTATTTTCTAATACAGAGTCTGATGAAAGAGTCCGTTAATAGTGAAAAAATAATCATTTTTTTAAAAAAAAACGTTTTTTGCATCTTAAAACGGACCAAGTTATACGGTATAAAAACAGTTCATTGGCGATACCGTTTTTGATGACGTGGGCCTACTTTAATCGTCATATTTTACTCTAGATCATTTATTCATTTTCTATTTTTTCACACTGTTTCAAGACAGTCAAAAGAGAATATTGTTCTATTGCATAAATTATGTCAGTCTGTGACATAACTAATCTAAAATATTGAGAAAAATTCCAGATACTATACTCTAAGGATTGTTTAACATCACATAGAATATTTTCTAACCGTAATGAGTACTATTATCCATTTCACAATAGAATGGACGCACATGTTGTTTAAATAACACTTTAGAATGAAAAGACCTAAAAAATTCGGATTTTCTTCTATTTGTACAGAAAATCTGAAATTATATTTTCGTAATAAACATATTCTAAAAATTAGAATATTTAATTTTTGATGTTTAGAATGATTCATCTACTACAAGAAACATCTTTATTCTACAGTTTTTCTATAAGTTCTACTATAAAATCAACCAATTTTAGTAAAGCTTTATTCATTTTTTTATATAAAGGAAGTTATAGAACAGCACAAATTGACTATATTCTGACATTGTTAAATTGTTTGAATCTATTTTGAATGAAGTTTTTATTATTAGGTGAAGAGAATATATTGAGTTTCTTTTTCGACAGTTAAAATCTCGAAGGAAAAAAACGCCCAAAACTGTTCATTATATATTTCATATTTATAAAAAACTAAATTTAGAAAAATTATTAGAAGATTTATCATTCATAGTTATGGAAAATGTTAAAGGAAAATATGATGATGAAATAAGATAAGGCTCTTCTTACTATGAATCATAAAAACCAATTTGTTATTGAAATTTGCCGTTTCTTTAAATGTCAAAAACTAAAAATCTCCCACGTGAAAATATTGTCTGATGATGATTTATAGTAAAAAGAATTGTAAAATAACAAAAATATTAACAAACATTCTCTATCTTATCCTATTTCATCATTATAATAAACGTTTGTCATCATTTTGAATAATGTTCATTTAATAAATTAATTCAACGAAATATTGAATTAAATGACACACATTAAGATGATATTTATTAACTTGATTTATTAAATCTATTATACCATCCAGCATGCCTGTTAAAAATTATCCTTTAATTCATCAAATGTAAAACTCTGTTTCAATTCTAATTATAACATTTCGAATGTACTGATTAAGAAAATTAAAAATAACAACAAAAGATAACATAGAAGAAAGTCCAATAGAATTAGAAATGTACGATCAAATAATAAATCAACAAAAAATACATGGATAATGCTGAAAATCAAATATTTTTTTTAATATTATCAAAAACACAATATGCCTTTATCATGTTTCACAGTATGCATAATGGTATTAATTTCATAAAAATAGCAAATAACAATAATCGTGTTGTTTTAATTGTTTTATCATAAAATAAATATTATTTTTGATCCAAAGTAACTCGGCATCATTCGATATTTTTACTTTCAAAGAAACTCAAACATACCGATGAAAATGATCAAAAATCATTTATTTCGGTAAAATTTCAACTAACTTTTTAGATTTCAGTGTTCGATTAGATATGTAAAATACACATTTACGAAGGTTATTGTTGGTCAGAATTATAAAATTCGAACTTTCAGAAAGCATGATGATACATCCGAATGACGAAAAATCAAGGTCTCATTTGACTCCCATTTTGAAGAGAAACATCTAGAAAAATTAATATTTTTTCTTTTCTTTTATGGAAATCCTCACTGGGTTTTTGTAGAGTTTCATAGAAAAATCTAATAAATAAAAACGAGTTTTCAACTGTGTTTTATTGTAAAAATATAGCCTCGGATTTTTTTATATACAAAATGATGAAAATTTTCAACTTTTCCCATCGTTCACGATTTATTCAAAAGACATGTGCATCTACTCTACGGTAAAATAAATTGTAGTGAAAATTTTAAATTAAATAATTTCAATTCAGACAGGAACTTTTTTCAAATGATTAACTTTTAGTTAAGTACTCATGAGGCTTTCTTATTTCTTTTAACTTTTTCTCTCTAAACGAATTCATACGT